TATTTTATATATAATTTCTTTTTAATTATTATTAAAATATTTAATAAAATCTAAATTATAATAAATTTAAATTTAAAATATTATTTTATAATTTATTAAAAGAATTTAAGTTTTAAATTATATAAAAAAATCTTAATATTTTTAATTATTAAATTTTAATAATATAAGTACTTTTAATAAAAACTAAAATATTAATTTAAATATATATAAATTATTAATAAAATAAAAGTTTATTAAGTTTTATATAAGATTTAAATTATATTTATATAATCTTTTTATTTATTTTAATAATTAATATTTAAAGTTAATTTATATTTTAATTTTAATTAATATATAAATATAAAATTATAAAAAATAAAATACTAATTTTCTTATATAAAAAGTTAAAATTATTATTTAATTTATTTATATATTATTTATTAATATATTAAATAATTTAATTTAAATAAAATTAAGGCTAGTTATATTTAAAGTTATTTAAAGCTTATTTTATAAATAAAAATATTTATATTATTTATATTTATATTAATTAATATTTAAAAGCTTTTATTAAAATATTTAGTCTTTTATCTTATATATTAGGTCTAATTTACTTTCTTATTTTATTCTCGGTATATATTATATATAAAGAACCGGCCAAAGTTTATAAGAGGCTTTTTTTAATTATAAAAGAAATAGTATTACTTTATAGGCTATTTACTAGAGCTATAAAGCATTTCCGGCTCTTTTACGGGCTTTTTTAAGCCTTATTTTCACCTATAAAGCTCTTCTTTTTTACTTATAGGCCTCTTATTACTTATACTCTTACCTATAACTCTCTTTTAAGCCTTACTCTTATTCGCAAAGCCCTTCCTTTTTTTTTACGGACCCTTTTAAGCCTTACTCCTATATATAAAGCCTTCTCTTTTCTCCTATAGACCCTTCTAAGCCTTACTCTCATTTACAGAGCTTTCCCTCCCCTCTTATAAGCCCTTTCAAGTCTTACTTCTATTTGCAAAGCTTCTCCTTTTCTCTTATAGGCCTTCCTAAACTTTATTCTTACTTGCAAGGCTTCTACTTATAGAGCTCCCTCCTACTTATAGGCTCTTCCAAGCCTTACTTCTACTTGCAAAGCTCTCTCCTTCTTACAAGCTCTCTCCTTCTTACAAGCTCTCTTATATAAGTATATAAGAACCTGTAATTTTTAAAGGCTTATATTTAAATAATTATTAACTTCTAAAGGCTATTTTCTATTATCTTTTATAAGATACCTATAGTATTTCCTTGTCCTTACTTCCCTAAGCTCTTGCTTACCCGATTCCTTACTACGGGCTTATATATACCTCTAAAGCTTATCTCTAGTAAGCTTATTCTCAAGTCTCAATATCCTTACTTGCTCCTTTCTTTAAATCCCATATTAATAATTTGACTTTTCCTTCCGTTTTCGATATATAAAGTATATAAAGTATATAAAGAAATATCCAAATTCAGAAGAAAGTCGTTTTTAATTATAACTAGAGTAGTATTCTAAGAAGAAAAGTTAATAAGTATTTACGGACAGATTTTCCTACTTACGGGCTATAGGCTTGTCCATAAGCTGGCCTACAGGTATTTCTTCGTCCGTAAATTGATCTATAAATATCTCTTTATTTACAGGTCTCTCTTCTTCGTCCGTAGCTCCTTCTTCTTCGTCCGCAGGTCTCTCTTCTTTATCCGCAGGTCTCTCTTCTTTGTCCGTAAGTCCTTCTTCTTTATCCGCAAGCCCCTCCTCCCTTTATATCTCCAAATATTAGCTAGCCATAAGCCAGTAATACGTTTCCTATAGCTCTTGCTTATACTCGTACTCGTACTCTTGCTCCCCCCTCTTATACTCGTCCGTAAACTACCATATATTAGCCCTATTCCTTAGCTCTTCGCAAGCTCTTACCGGATCATTCTCCTCCTATTACCTCTCTTGCTCTCTCTCCCACTGCTTCTCCTCCTTATGCCACTGCCATTCGTCTTCTTATAATCGAGCTTAGAGCTTCCTTTCCTCGTCCCAAGCCTGCCATTATACTTTTGCTTTTGTTCGTATTTCCTCCAAGTCTATAGGATCCCATATCCTATGTATTTGTGCCCGTAGCTTTGCTCTCTTTACCCGTAAGACCCGCCGGTTATACCTTTCTTATATAAACTCGCCCGTAGCCTTACGGTATTAGTCGTACTTTCGTACAAGGCAGATTTCGCAAGTATAAAGTCGATATCCGTCCTCGTAAAAAGGGAAGCTTGTAATTAGGCAAAAGGACTTATACCCAAAGCAGCGCAGCCGATTTAAAGGAAGGGTATCCATTAGAAAGTCTATAAAAGGGAGCCTATAAAGCTTATGGAAGTGAGCCTATAGAGCTTGCGGAGCCAGTAAAGCTTGTGGGAGGAGCTGGAAGTTTTGGTGTTCCCGCACAGACCCCATTACGTAATAGCGTCCGTTTTCTCCGGAAAATAGCGTTAATATAAGAGAGGAAGGTAGATGTTTTTGTGCTGAAGAATAATAAAAGGGAGCTTTTCTGGAGGAAGGCTGGGCCGACGAACTGCCAGTAGTGTCGGATAAACATTCCACCGGGCCCACCCTTTTCCCCTTTTCGTCACTCACTCCTTTCATCTCATCCACCACGACTACCTACCGTATTGTGGATAAGATTCGGTCATGGTGAGAGTAATTAAAACTAAGCATTTATGCTTAGTCGAGAATATGAAATATGCCGTCCTACTAATTATTCCACAATCAGTGACTTGGCGCAGCTTCCTCAACGCTCCACGATTCACTATCCCCCGACACCTCTCCTCGGCTCTGCTAAGGTAAAGGGATGAGTAAAGATCCAAGGCATACTAGAGGGAAATGCTTCATGTCGGTAGCGACTTTCTGGTAGTTGTGTTCTTGGGAAAGTGCTTGAGCTAAGGAACATTTGTTTCAGGCATGGAAATAAACAACCAAGCCCCCTCAGCACTTATCCAGTTCTTCGAGAAAATAAATAGAGCATTTTATCCATACGAAGGTCGAGGTCAGAAGTCTGAAAATTACAGCGTTCGAGCGCTATATTACCCTGTAATCTTCCCCGTCCTACGCTGAAAGTCACTAAAATTATAGGCTTCTAGCCTATAAGGTGCTTGGAAGTGTCTTTGTTGATTTGCGCACAGACAACGCCACGTTGTAGTAAGGCGTAACACACGCTAAAGCAGCCTATAAGTCCTTGTGGTTTTAGCGAGCTACTCGCTGTACTACAGAAGCATGCCCTGTAATCTCCAAACTTTTGACAGAGGCCGTCGTGTCATACACCCTCTTATCTAGCGATGCCGTTGCTTGTGAAACGCTCCTGCGTAGTATGTTACAAGTTCCTTGGCAACTTTGTAAAGCTAACCATAAGATATTTTCAGAGGGTTGCAGCGTGCGAGCGTCGTAGTGGGGTATTATTTTATGGGCGGGGATCCGGCGTTCAGGGGCTTGCAAATGCTAAGCGAACTTGCCGAGACCCCCTTTTTAACAGGTGCCGCGATCATCATACTAGAAATTCTCGCCATTAGAACGGTTTTGCAACCCCCTACAACCGACTTTTGATAAGACGTCCGCTAGACTCAATTGAGTTATACAAACTCCCTATCGAAAACCTGGAATTGAGATTTTGCTAGTCTAGTAATTTAAAGACGTGGTTAGTCCCCGGTTCAATTAAAACTAGTAATATTAAGTGAAGTCTTCCAAGCGGGCAAAGTAAGTGCTACGCTAGGTAGAAAGGGCATGCCGACAGCGTTATCTAAAAGCTAAATTTACTTAGCGTTCCGACTAAATAGGCGGAACTCTAGCCAGAATATTAGCTTTAATAAGGAGAGCCTCTAAGAGATTCCGTACTATGAATCAGAGGCTTCTGAGTAGTTAATAAAGCTTTACTTGATTAGGAATACCAAAGTTATTAAAAAGTAGTTATCGGGGTGGCAAAACCTCTCTATTTATTACATACTACGTACAGGCATATATATAGCTTCTTTACTGCCCTTAGGGTACTATTATTAATATATATATTTATATAAATATCATATTCCACTTCTATAGCTTATCTAGGCCATAATACTATTCTTTTTAGTTCCCTATAAGTAGTCGGTTCGTTTATTTAACGTATTAATAGTTAGTTCGTTTATTTAACTTATTAATGGTTAGTTCGTTTATATATGAGAGAAAACTAATCAGGTGCCACGTTACTCTAAAGAGAGTCAAGCCTAAATCCTGATTCCGTTACTTATAATTTACTTTATATAAGATCTCGAGTCCTAATATAGAAGGCTTTCTAGTAATATGGACTTATATTTCTGTAATTATTAGTCATTCACATTATTTAGGGCAAATCCGAAAGCCCTCGTAGACTATAGCAGAAGAAATAATTCAATTAAAATCCTATATAAGTATTACTTGAAATAATTTATAAGAAGTATAAATTATATTAAAGTTATAAAACAAATAGCAAAGTTAGCCTTAAGTATTTCGAATAATAAGTTTGAGTTAAATTAGTTATATTAGCTTTATTAATATATTTACTATTCTTGTTATAATACATGGTATTACTTTAGTTATAAGATTAAAAAGTGAGGTAAAAAGGCCCTCTAAGTCCTATAATCTTAAGGGCTTTTAGGTACATATCCTGAGTTCTTTTGAGTATATTATAGTAATAATTAAACGTGCTTAATAAGCTTATAACGAGGTTATTAAATATACCCTAGGCCTCGCCCTGGCTGCAGTAACCATGCTATGGCTATACTAATATTATGGATATCTCATAATAGTAATATTATTAATATCATATACGCCATTGATTACGCCATAAACAGAAGAAGATACGGTATCTAAAAAGGCTACGAATACGGGACTTATAAGTCACGTGACAAATCTCCTCTTTCTTTTGCAGCTTTCCAATCTATAAGCCTAAGTACAAAATGCAAACACATCAACTTACTCCGTTACTATTGATCTCCATGTAGACCTACGCCCTTCTCAAGTTAAATCACCAGCAGACTACCGACTCCCTAGCCTTCATATCCGGGTCCCCATCCCTCGCACTTCTCGTCCCACATCTAATTATAGCCTCTCTCCTCTGCAAATCAGATACAACCTCTCGAACCATAACCCTCTGCCTATCTGGTGCAAGAGGGAGGTCTGAATATGGATTATCTCCACTAAATGGCACCATTCCCTCTTCCTCAATTTCCATAATCCACATCGCGATCTTAGCGCAGAGTATTGAGTCCCACATTCCTTCTCTTCTCGCGGTGAACGTCAGGAGTCTGATAGCTTCGCGTCGGATAAGGCGGTCGCGACATTTGGTGGCGACTATGTGAAGCGGTGGTATGATGCCGAGGTCGAGGGTGAAGGAGGCTTTGATGCGAGGGGAGGAGCCTTCTTCGATGTGAGCATGTGCTTCCTGTTCTTCGGCATGCTGACTTGGGTTTAGTCCAGGAAAATGCTGTCGGCAATTCCAATTGCTGAACTTGTCACACCTAGTAATCCCTCGACCCATCTCAATATCAAGTATTACTTCCTTAGCCAGTTCGACAATCTCCCGGTACGGGAGAGCGAAATTGTCAAAATCCATTTCACTTGTGGAGAAGGTCATCATGAATTGAACCAAACTCATCCACTGGATCATTTTTAGAACGCAGATGCCTGTTATTTCCGCATTGCTGGTGCCCGCTTGACGGCGAGACTGTAAAAGAGGATCAAAGGCCGTAGACCATTGATTGAATTCGCTTTGAAACCCATAACCGGATGATCTGATACTCGAAGGAAGGATGTTGTTAGGAGCACCGTAAGACGACGACAGTGCTTCGTTGAAGCGCATTATGCGCTCGCATAGCGAGAATAGTGCCGAGCGGGCGTCTTGAATAGAGACAAAGACATCCGGGATGTGTGCTATTTTCTGGGAGAAGGAAGAGATGTCGCCTTCAGACGGAGAGACCAAAGGTAGTATCGCCGATGGCTGGGACGATATCCCTTGGTCGTCATCCCGATTAGAAGTAAGGCGAATAACGTAGGGATTTGGGAAATGGAAGGCCATGTCATAGTATTTGGCTTGGACTGCAAGCCGGGTGAAGATTTCAAGAAGCTCGTCTTCGATGAACTCGTCACGACTGAGGGTTATAAACTGTTGGGTTCGCTGTCGTCGCTCTTCCAGAAGATTTAAGCCAGCCTGGATCTGTGTGATTGTGCCTTCTTGGTCACCGGTGAAAGATGCAAAACAGGTGAAGAGGATAATGGACATTAACGTTGTTCGAAACGATCCTACTCCACGAGTCGATATACCTTTTCGTAAGAGTCTAATTGCCTTCCCATATTGTTGTAAAGCAAACTCATAGTGGGCTGGTGCTGTGGCATGTATGCAGTCGCTCTCGCTCGGCGATCCAGAGGTGGATAACGTTGTTTCTTCCAAGGTCTTATAAAGTGCTCCTAACGCGACAACTGCATGGCGTATAGATGCTTTAGAGTGACTCTGTTGAAGAATACTTCTTGACCAAAACTCCGAGTCGAAGAAACCTGATAACTCACTCGCAGCGTAAGTCCGAAACAGCTGAAAATATTGTCCTTCTTGCGTGTCGAATGTAAAGCCTCCCGGGTTGTATGTTGTCAAGGAAGGCGTTGTCAGAGACGGAAAGGTGCTTTCTGATATGAAGGATGAGAGATGTGGTTCCCCGGATTGATAGAAGGATTGATGACGATCCCCATTTTCGCTGGTAGATAACGCATCTTTCCCATGTCTTGACCTCTTAGGGTTTCGAATCAATTCTGTCCCTGTGATCTCTTCCGCAGATGCCCCAGCCTCTTCTGTGGCTCGTCCCTTTCCTTTCCGCGGAAGCAGTGGGTGATCATTTGAAGGCTGGGGAGATACGGCAGAAGGGCTTGGTGAAGCTGGCTGAGGTGTAAATACACTGAAAACCGGAGAAGGAGCTACTCCCAACATCAATTACAATCCATAAAAACCTTCATAAAAAAAACTCACCATCAGTAGGACTTGGAACATCCAGGGAATCTTCTGCAGAAAGGTTATTTCTCTTTAGAAACCGATCGATCTTGGCTTCGTCAAATGGGGCTCCATAAACTCGAAATCGACTGTCTATACCGACACGCCTGCGCTTTTCCCGAGTCTGAGCGATGGATATCATATCATTGGTCTTGATATTCTTTTTGTCAAGCCTCCACGATTTGATCTTGGTCTTCAGTTGTTTCAGTCTAGAGCTTTGATTAGCATTTGGTCGCTCAAAGTTAACAGAGTAATGCCTCGTGAAGACATACGTAGCATTAAATCCCGATTGGCTCAAGGTTTCTTGAACTTGGGAGAGAGTGTTACCCTCTTCGATGTAAAGGCTCTCGATTTTAGATTTCTGATCTTCCCATTCAGCACGAGTGAAGCGATGATTCGAGACCTTTGTTTGCGGGTGATAAGGCTGAGGCTGAGCTTGTGGAGGAGGGCGGATTGACCATGAACTTATGAGCTCAGACATCTCTAAATCATCCATTTTGGCAAGATTATCAAGGGAAGAGAATGAAGATAAATTCGTTGAGAAAGATGTGGAAAGATGTTTAGACGATTTGTGGAGAGAAAGGGAGATTTATAGGAAGGCGCGAAGTTTGATGTTCTTTCTGGGTGAGGCGCGCAAAAGTTGCCTCCGTCAGCCCCAGCAGATGTGGCCATGCTGGTTGGCCAAGAGCACCTTGTGGCTGCATGATTTCAGCCCTTTCGTTAGTTGACTAGACCACTTCGAGGCATGAAGGAACTTTTGTCTGAGAGTCTCACTTCAGCTTCAGCAGCACGTGAGTTGAAGACTATTTCAGACCATGAGTTCGCTATCTCACATCGTGTCATACGATGGCGGCGTAAAATTTGATATACCCTGCTCTGTTATCTTTGAATTTGATCTACCCTATCCACCCGCTGCATTAAGCTAGCCAATAGATTAATCGCGATTTCTTGATCTCCATAGCGACTTTCGGGCTGCCTCGCCAGATTCTGGCATACCTTCCGCTAAGCCACCGCGCATCCAGCGTACGCGTCACTAAATTATAGGGGCACATATCGCTATCCTATAGCATATATATTCCTAAAATTTCCCTTTTATCTTATTACGGGATTAGTCGTAGTAAGAGTTTACCGGGGATCTAGAAGGCAGTAAGAGCCCCTAGTATATATATATCTTATAGAAGTTAGGTATAAAGAAAATAGCTGAGAATATACTTTTTGCGCAGTGACTTAGCGAAAGGTATGCTAGAATTTGGCAGGGCAGCCCTATAATTTAGTGAAGCGTGAGCTGGAGGCCTGGAAAGCCGTGGCCACAGGTGGCGCTATTTTCATTGGCTAGCTTAATGCAGCGGGTGGAGAGGGTATATCGAATTCAAAGATAACAGAGCATGGTCCATCAAATTTTCCGCCTACAGTCGGTCCGACCCAAACACGACAAAACGGTCGCTCTTTTACGCCCATAATAACTTTTCAACCACAACCTTCATTAATTTATACTAAGTAATGCGATTATAGAATAGAACCAGGCGAAAAATACCTATTAATCAGATTTTTGATATAATTTGTGGTTTATTAATAATTAAGGCCTAAAGTATACGGACCCTTTTTACTTTTTTGATTTTTCGTCATACAAAGCGCAAAAATATTTGCTCGCTAAGGTCACGTGAGCCCGGACTTCAGGGAGAGATTAGGGCATCTCACCAGCCTTATTATTAATAAAATAATAATAATTAAGCCCTATAATCTTAATTGAACCTTCCTAAGTACTAAATATGTCTTTTTCTAGTACTATATATATTATATATATGGTAGGACTATAATTAAATAGGTTTCAAGCTTACTTTTAGCTAAACTAAATCCATAAACTTAGCTTCTTATTTAGCTACCTTCTTTCCCTTTCTTTTGCATATTATCCCATTCGTCTATTACCTTTTTAGATATCGTTCTATAGCGTTTTTGCTTCTTTACACACCAAGCAGCTTGTTTAATACTTAATCCCTTCCGATATATATCCATCCAGCGGAACGTACGGTTGCAAAACCTCCGTATAGTCTCAATCAAACAAGCTTCAAGTGCCTCTACTACCTTAACCTTAGTATCTGGGAAGCTAACCTTCTTTACTTGACGAAATCGAGTTTTGCTATACCCCCAGTATATCTCAATTAGGTTAATTTCGCAGTAGAACTTCGGTAGAAACACAGCCTTATATCCCCGCTCTATAATAAGCTCTTTAATTTGACTCTTCTCCTCAAAGAAGTCTTTGTGATTCGAGAGTATACGAGCTAAACAGTACGTTTGTTCAATAGCGGGAGGGTATTTAAGGGGTACAGTACACTTAGCACCCTTTAGATACTTAAATCTTAAGCCAGGGATATTACACCCTTACTCAATAAGAATCTGTTCCACGCCCTTAGGCTCTCTTTCTCCATTCAGATTAAGTTGCCAAAGAACTTGTATAGTACCCTGTAACCCCGGAATCGTATACTCCGGTAGGAAATACGTATTCCTCCCATAGGGCTTAATATTACCCTTTTCAATCCCTCCTAGTATCTTGTTTATACCAAAGGCGTTCAGTACACCTTCGCCATACAAAGCGTATGCAGAAGACTAATCAAATATTAGAACAGCTATGTAATTTGGGTACTTCTGTTCAAATATATCAAGCGTCCTAGTAACCTGCACTAGTAGCTGTTTTGTATCCCACCAGGGATCTCCATTTGAGCCTGGATATATAATTTGACGGGCATCCAAATCGGGGTCGTCCGGAATAAAAATGCCTTTATTATTCGGCACCCTAATACGCCCCTCAGGCCCTATAAATTCAGAATCGTGAATTAGCCTCCCTTTGCTCTTTCCTGGCATTTTTTGCTAATTATCTGCTAGCCAGAGGCTCTTTTTATAGTCAAAACCATGGAAACAGCTCTTATCATAGAAGTATATTACATGTACCTGAACTCCAATTGGGAGTAAAGGTTGAATCGTATACCATATACCAGCTTCATCCTCCTCGTACTGGACTATATACGATAAAAGCTCATTCATTAATGGTAAAAACACCTCTTAACAATACTAAATCACATCAGATCGTTCGTATCCATCCACATAAAGCCCTTTCTTAGTCTCATGGTAATAAAAGCCGAGCCTAGGAAGCCATAAGTAAGCTATGCTACGAGCGATTAGCCTTTCGATTATCGATAATAATCGAGGTAAAATCTCCTGATTAACGGTATTCAGGAAATCGTTTAGTAATATCATTCCAAGCTCTTGATTAATCAACCAAGTACGGCAAGCTAAAAAGATGTCCTCGTTATCCAGATAGGAGATACCATCCCTTTTACCACCCCTAGCCTCCAGTGGAATGCCATGCCACTGTCAATAGTAATTAAATAACCCCCTAATTCGCCGAGCTAGTATCTTTCCATTATTAAAGCGGTAATTACTGGAAGCTACTAAGAGTAATACATCAATTCTCCCTAGTCAATACTGCCCTGGTTTCAGGAGCTATTGGGTATATTGCCGGAGTAGGTATAAGTTAGCAACTATATATGGAGTATATAAGTCTTTTATCTGTACTAGCTTTATATTCACATCGTCAAGGACTTCCTAATAAGTCATTCGTACGTCTAGAGCTTCGTTATCTCCGCAAGCGTTTCCAATAAGGGCATCCAAAAGTAGCTCGTTCGTTCTATTGTCTTCATCCTCAAGCCTTTGCTCTTTTCTTAATTACACATCCCTAGGGATATCAATTGGCCTCTCAATAATACCGAATTGTAGCTTCTTTTGTTTAAAAGACGGTACGATTATAGGGGTCTTGAGCCTAGCAACTTGAGCATCTTTTGCCCTCTAATCATATATATGCTTTTATTGAGTTCTCAATGGCTTTACTGATTCCTTTATTAATTTAGAGACATACGAGCCTCTGGAAGCTAGAAATAGTATTAGTATACTTATATTATAATATAAAGATAAGAAACTTACTAGTCTGTACCGTAAGTCTTTGCTCTTGCTATACGAATATAGGCTTCTCCAAAATAATCGTCTCATTACCACTAATAATAAGCTTCCGCTGAATCCAAAAGAGAGTTAAATCTTCAAGCTCTAATTAATCGCCTTGTTCAATATCTGAACTATTAGAATCGTCCTCTATATTAGAGGATTTCCCATGCCGTTCGTCAAGAGTTACTTGGATTGCAGCTTCTTCAGCTAGAGTGAGAACTATAATTAAATCAAGAGTTGAATCAGCTCGCTTGCGCTTCTGAAGGCTTACAGAGGTAGCCATTGGAAGTATTCAAAAGGGGCACTTGATTAGGTTTGTGGTTATTGAGATATTAATATAATTATGGAAGAGCGGTCAATCTGGGGGGGCAGTCACGTGACAGCCAAAGTTAAAAAATGATCATACAAAGCACAAAAATATTTGCTCGCTTAATTACATATATTATAACTCCCTTAATAATAAAGATATTATAATTTTGAGACTATAGAATTAATTCCTAGCATATATAGTATAGTTTTAATTAATACGATTTATATCAATTAGTATTATGGTGGTTTTTTTTTTTTTTTGTCGTGTTTGGGTCGGACCGACTGTACGATGTCTGAGGTGGTCCGTGCTCACTTTAACTTTACTCGAAATAAAGCGAAGCCGATTCTGTAAGCGACTATATACCGAAATCTGGGGAGACCTGTTTTTGAGCACTTTGACCATGCAGCAGGCATACAATCTCGAGCAGTGGTTGAGTGGTCTACTGGGAGTTGGGCGCACTAGCGGAGAAAATTTGTGCCGGGATCCTTGGGAGCCTGGTTGGGCTTCCCAGGGATCATCGCCAAAACTTGACAAAATTGAAATGAGAAGGCCCTAGTCTATCCAGCCTGATCGGGGATCAAATGCGTGAGTAAGTAATACAGTGTAACCTCGCTAGAAGGATACTCAATATAAGGATATCCTTGACATAAGGATACCACCTTAGGATCCCAATAAAAATTAGCCCTGAGCTAAGGATATCCTTACTATAAGGATTATCCTTATGATTTTGAATCCCAGCCTTGATTTTTTGGTGTTTTATCCTTATAATCGTGCACGTGATGGGCTAATTTACCGCTCCTGACAGGTCTTCAGGCACCAGTAGACCCGTATTCTAAGCGTTAATCTCACTGCTCCAGAGCCTTCACAGCCTATTACCCTCCCAACCCACTAATCCTATGCCCCCCACCGATCCCATGGCTCCCCAACAACCTAGGTAAAGAGGTTATTTATATATTTTCAAATCTTGGTGATATTTCTATTTTTATATATTTGCACGTGATTCTCGATATAAGAATACCTCGCATTATCCTTAGTTTTTGGGGACAATTTCGCTATCCTTATATCGAGGTTTCACTGGTACCGATCAGGGGCTGCTCAGGGACTGCTCAGGCTGCTCAGGTGAGCTGGGTGAGCCGAGGGTGATTAGCGCCTGAGTAGAAGCGGCTCGCTCACTAACCGGCCTGGGGGGGGGGGTTCGTTTTAGTTTTTCCCCTGGGGACGAAGAAAAAAAAAGTTGTGTTCAACTACCGTTGCAATTGTCGCACACGCTAGCTTCAATTACATTCCCCCTCTCCAATTGCATGATATGCGTGTTGTTGTATGGTTTCACATCCTCTATAATGCAGAACTAGTGGCATCAACAAGTTTGTCTTCTTCACATACAGTACCTTTCCTAAATATCCTTGATTGACCTTTCTCCTCTTGTGTACCCTGAAGCCGTGCACAATTTTGTATAAGGAGACCATCATGCCAGATAGAATTTTGACGTCGAAACATCAACACACTACTCTCTGAGGACCTAAGAGTCAGTAACTCCATAGATCTCTTCCAAGGTCTTCGGTCGTGCGTTGCACTCTGTACCAACAAAATTAACAGGGACACCCGAATATCAAACACCCCGTCCTTTTTCATTAGAATTAAGGTCGGCCGAAGGATGGACGAGGCTTTTAGCCTATGTGCGCACACCTCATCCTGTTATCCAGAACTAGCGGCCCACATGGGTGGGAATGGCGTCATTTTGGCTTTGAGTGCTGGATGAAAGAAATAAATACGGCTATAGAGAAGAAAGATTATCAATAGATTCTCCATGGCGAGAAAATATAGCGGACCAGGAGAGGGCGATGATCAAGGGGATTCAAGTTTAGCTGCAACCCCTCGACGTATCAAAAGCTTCCCCAAGACCCAAAAGTGAGCCCGAGACAAATGATCCGAGAGAATCATAGGTTATTTCTTCTTTCTCAGACCCACGTGTGCCGCTTTTCAGCCAAGTGGAAATATATGTCAAGGTCTTGACACAAAGAGTTATATATCTGACCCAATCACTCGCCAGCGACCAACAAATTCTGTTCCACCAAAACTCCTTCCCAGTTTTCTGGGAATAAAGGTTTTCCAGGCCGGTAGCCTTGCGTTATGATTTGTTATTTAAAATGGTGGAAATTCCAGTTAAGGTCCGCCTACACGGTCTGGACTCTGCAGCGATGACATCAAATACGTGTTCCCACGGTTGGGTTAAACGGTTCAGCATATTCATAATTGCTTTGCAACCCACAGAAGAGGGTGTCACTCACTTCCTATGACACTGCATTGGCTATGCTAAGAGATTTTTGTTGCAAAATACAAGTTTTTCTCTGTGTTTCAGGTGCAGTGCCGCGCTCACATCCTCTATTAGTGAGTATTGGGATTCGAGTGGAGGACTGGCTCCCTACAAGCCCAATTCCGGGCCTTGGGACATCAAGGTCAACTGCCAGTGGCAGCCTCGAATTCACTGTTGCCGTTTTCGGGCGCTAGGAGGTGGGTGCCTCATGCAGGGTCCAAGACATGGAGGCGCAGGCTGCGGCTGAACGGCTCACGAGTCAAGTTAATTTGAAGCACAATATTTTCCGCATGTGACGGGCCGGGGACGAAAATAGAAAAAGAGAGAAACAAGAAGACTTTCCTATATCATAAAGATCAAAGTTGTCTATGTAGAGCTCATGTAAATATTTTGAATATAGTGCCGACCTCGTTACGTAGGCTTTACGATTAGGTACGTTGATACACGGAGTCGAATTAAGCTTGACGGGAAACAGATCAAGATTCTTATGCAGGATGAAAAATGCACGGATATCACCACCCCGGGATTTTCCAGACGCTCTGGCCAGTAGGGGACCTTCCTAGACCGCATTGTGGTTGACGTGCAGCAGTCTAGTGCCTCACCCAACCGGTGGGTACGCCGCTGACGATCTACGGGACGTCCCGTCCGGCTTCGACCAGTCCAGACTTGGATCGAAGATAGAGAAATTCGTTCAATAGTTACACGATAGTCATGACTATGGGGGTCAAATCCACGCCCATGGAATTAACCACCCAGATTTGGACAATTTGAGAACTCATTTTAAACATGGCAGCTCGGCGCCTTTGTCTATATAAAGAGCAATTCCCAACTTCAGAAACTCAAGCCAGCATTGATATTCTTCATTCATCTTCTGCAAGCCTCAATCCTCAAGCTATCTTCAATTGTTTTCAATACTCCTCAATCTTCCAACCGTTCTTCGCCTGATCTTTTATTCCAATACAACCCCAATCTTTACCCACAAGCTTCGTCATCATGCACTCCAATATGCTCGGTGCTTCTAAGCTCGCGCTTCTTGCCCTCTTTGCAATGCAATTCAGCACCATCTCTCTGGCTCATCCAGCCTTGGAGCAGCGCGCCGCTCCCATTGTCATGGGACTCGCGAAGACCTTCGGTGCCATCGCTGCAACGACACTTACTTCCACTGGTGCAACAGTGTAAGCATATTGAGACCTCCCTACATCCCTCCTTTTCACCACGAAATGCTGACTCTTCGATCTCCTTAGGATCACCGGAGACTGCGGAACCTGTCCTGGGACTGCCATCACTGGATTCGGTCCAGGAATGGGAGTCTGCACGGGCAGCAACAACGCTGGCAACACCGCTGCCTGCAACGCTGAAGCAGCCTGCCTCACGGCTTACAACAACGCCGCAGCCCTCGTTCCCACCCATACTCTTGCCACAGACCTCGCAGGCCAAACCCTCGTCCCTGGTGTCTACAAATTCACAACCCTTAATGCGATCCTCTCCGCCACACTCAGTCTGGATGGAACCTCGAACCCGAAAGGTCAATTCATATTCCAGATCCAGACCACATTCGGCACTTCAGCTACCACATCGAAGGTAGTGTTGATCGGTGGAGCCCAGGCTTGCAACGTCTACTTCATTGTTGGTTCTTCAGCCACCATTGGCGCTGGGTCAAAGATGCAGGGAAATATCTTGGCGCATACTTCTATTGCTGTGAATTCTGGCGCGAGCAATAAAGGGACCTTCTGTGCCCTCAATGGGGCCATCACGTTGATTGATGATGCTCTGACCTCGCAGCCTACTTGTTCTACTTGAGAAGGAGATCCTGCCGTGCGATGGAAACTCCTTCGGCGGGGGTGGGGGTTGTGGAAAAAGTCCCTTTCTGCTGGTTGCTTTCCCTTTTTGGATTTAAGGTGGTTGATCGTCTCTCCTCTAATTTGGTAGTGATTGGGGACATGAGAGACAGGTAGTTCTATATCGAAATTTGACATGGCTATTTTTCTGAGACTGGTTCCCTGTACCCTCCGACCTTGTCGAAATCAGTGACTGCATGCCTCACACTGGCATTTCCATCGATCATGTCCCCCCCCCCCCATATTGACATAGGAAGGCTAAACATAGTGTACTTGGTAAATATTTGACCGACCATTGGGACGGCAATGTTCCATAGTTAAACTTCGAGATGAAAGGAGATACTCTGGTCTGAAGTTCTTGTCAGCTTCAAGTGATGCTCACCACTTGACCGACACCTCCGCGATTCCTGCGTCACTCCGTGAGTTTAATCATGCAACTGCGGCCCCTGAACGTACCTTAGAAACACCATTTCTTTCACTCCTTCAACCGCGTATCTTCTCTCCAACACTGAAGAATTCTGGTCCATCTCTAAATGGGCGCAATGGATCCCATCCTCATCACAGCTTTAACCTCATCATCAATTAACGGCCCCTCATACTCTTTCCTTCCACGAATCCAGTACCAGGTGATACTGAATATAATAACCCCTCCCGTAACCACCACACTATAGTTCATTGTTGTAGCATCAACGGGGGTTTCCGGCGGCCAAAAGCTCCAGAAAATCACGAATATCATATAAACACATGCGTATGCGTTATTGATGATTCCCAGTATGCCTGGGATTCGGAATGGTCCCCATGAAAGAGCTGCTTGGGCGACTTCCACGATGGGTGTGCCGGCGTTGGTGTCGTTCGGATCTGTAGCCTTCTCGCCTTCGCCGTATTTGCTCTCCTTGGCAGGCTCATTCGTTTTGTCGGTCGCGGGATTTGAGGACACGTCCTTTTGTGAAGCAACATGTCCTTTGATGCGATGGTATAGCAAGAAAGCGGCGGGGAGGAAATATGATCCATAGAATCCGGTAATGGTCAACGAGATAACATCGTTGAACAGGCTGGTCAATAAGCCAGCCGGCTTATCAGCTAGCTTATAAGCTAGTTTATTAAGCTATTCAGTTGGGCTTTAATTTTTATATCAGTCAGTCAGCTAAAAATCTACTAGCTTAAAAGCGGCTAATTAGCTAAGTCATACTAATTTTGCGATTTTGGAGTTATTTAAATATATAATAATTAGAGTTTTTGGGAGGGTTAGTGGGGTAATTAGGTAATCATAGCCTTAATTACTAGGCCTTCTAGCCTTGAAAATCTCCTTAGCTCGCACACTTGGCATTTGATTCCTTAATTAATATTAAAATAGACGCCGCATCCACCCCTACTACTCGAGCCTCTCGTGATCTCTCAATTAGACCTTCTGAATCGTTATTAAATCTTCCGAATACCTTTAGCCAGATAATGGGCAGTGTGCCTAGGGAGCAAAGAAAGGACGTACGAGATCAGTACAATCGGCCGGTACTAACTTATAATTAAAACTATAATCCTTACGAGCCTCCTCCCGAAGATCAATGCCCTGATTACTCTCCATATGCTCCAGGAGAGCCTTTATATAATAATTGCACAGTTATAATTATATGGCTTCCGAAAAAATACATTATTACAGGTACTACTAAGCGGAAGAGAATAATATGGGTTTAGTAGCTTGGTTACGCTCTTACTAATACGAGCAAAAAAGATAAGCCTACTATATGGGCATGCAAGCTTTATATACCTTTTTATTATTATATAGTAATTATATACTTATTAGTTTTTTAGGCTACTATAATCCCGAATTTTCCAGAAACCGAGAATAGTATTATAATAGTAACTTCCTTAAAAATGCCAAAAATTATTTCCTTACCCGCTACTTTCTTAATTATAAAAGAGATATATAGAGAGTATAGCATGGAAATAATAGCCTATAAGCTTTAGGGCCGGTTAATAGAGGCTATAAGTATGCGATCCCGTTCCGTTAGCAGGAATTCATAAATGCATTTATTAAATAGGTTATAATAAATAATATTAAGTCTTATAAAGTAGCTTTTCCCCGACTAAAACGCACCTTTAAGATTACTAATATATAAGCTGCAAATGCTCTACTATCCTCCCATAATATAATAGAGTCCTGGATTAATAAGATATTTTATTATTTTGAGCCAGAAATTAAAGAAGAGATTAAGATAGCAAAATCACAAATATATTATAGTTTTAATAGCTAGGGCTCAAAGTATGAGAAAATTAGTATTTTGGGCATTATTATATATATAGTAAACTATAAAGGAAAAAATATAATATGCCTAATTAGGTTACTAGAGCTCTCTAATTATAGGAAACATAGTATTAGTAAGTCTAGATTTTTACTACTACTACAAATAGATTTTTATATAGTAGTATTAATAATTTACGAAAGTAGTATAGCGTAATTCGGGCGTTCCCGAGCGTTTCTAGCTAATAGGAGGGCTTTAGCCGGACCTTAATTTCCTTCCGAGATCATATAACTAACTTTCTTTATTAGATCAAGCCATAGTAATCTTGCTATTATTTTAATATTTTAGTATTAATAAAGATAATTTAGGCTATTTCGTATTTAATAATACCCAAAATAATAATATAATACTATAGGAGCTCGGCTAACAAATAGATTTTGATCCAATTCAGAAAAGACTATACTATATAGGATATATCCTTAACCTTATTATAGAAGCCTATTTATTTAGGCAAGACGAGTCAAGCTAGAAAGAAGACTTTAAGGAAGCAGGTATAGAAGAGTATTAAAGGCTTTAGAGATAGTAAGGAGAGCTTGGAAAGCTATATAACTTGGTAGTATATATTATGAATTTAGGAAAGCGGACAGATATCTTTATTAAGTTATAAATTAATACTAATACCGGAATTACTTTAAGCAAGTAATAGAAGCTTGTTTTAGATAGGGGAATATATTAGAATTCGATATATCTAATAATTAGGAGAGCCCTTGAACTCAAAAAGGCCCTAAATATCTATACTAACGATTTGAGAGATTCTAATAATTCTGATAATTAAGAGATCTATTTAGAAGACTATATTACTATAGCTAAATAGAGGGCTCTTGAGATTATTAGAGATTAGCTTAAACCTCTTTTCCGATTAACTAAGGACTTGGAAGGTAATTATGATCTAAAAGACAGAGTATAAAAGGCTTTATATAGTACTTTATAGGAGGTACTCCCTGTCTTTGAGTTCCTTCTTAGTTATTTTGAGAAGCTTAAAAAGAAGGCAAAAGCTAGAGATTTTAACGAATATCCCGGTATTTAAAGCTCAATTACTTTAGCTTGGAATACTACGATATTATAGTATAAGAAGACAGATTACTCTCTTATATAGATAGCTTTAATAGTCTTATATCTTCGGTTTAAGTTCACTTGGTTTAATTAATACTAGACGTTACTAGGGGAAGTATATACTCTTAATTCGGCAAAGACGAAGATACGTAAGCTTTGAGAGAAAGAGTATAGGGATAATGGTATTTTAGATTAAACGAATTAGTCCCCAGAGCCTGAAAAAACGATATCTTACCTGGAGAATATACTAAATTAGATAGTGCCTTCTAATTTATTATGTCCTAAGAGGCCTACCCGTACAAAAGACGAGCTTTACCTATATTTAGCTAAACCCCCTACTAATCTTTTGGGAGTTATAAAGTACTAGAAAATACGGGAGTCTGAATAGCCTCATCTTGCTAAAATAGTATACGATTTTCTCAGTATTCTAGCTATGAGCTCTGAGTGCGAGCGAGTATTTTCGCCTTATACGAAAATGACTACTTCTGAGAGTTCTAGACTATTAGGAAAGAGCTTATGGTATTACGAATACTTAAAAAACTGGCAGAGGAGGGGGGTAATTATGATGGAAACGTTTGGGGATACTATTATTTTGAAGCTAGTTTAAATATAATTTTCTGAGATTTATATCTTTAACTGATCAGCAGCTAATCAGCCGAATCAGCTAAGTAAGTCAGCTGACCCACTTTATATAAGCTAATCAGCTATCAAAAAACCTTAGCTGATGGCTGACTGACTGGCTTATTGACCTGCCTGTCGTTGAACGCAGTCGCCGAGCCGACATAGATGAGCGTCAATAAAGCAGAAAATATTGTAATAGCAGACACAGCAACGACGGGGACTTGGGTTCGAGGCTCAACTTTGCTGAGAATGTGTGAGAACGGTGTCCCTCGATCCCGGGCGAAGGACCAAGTCATTCTCGAGGCTGTTGTTGTGATTCCAATTGCACAGGCCCAGGTGAGCGCAAGCACCACTGCGCCCATAGATGTGACTCCGGCGAAGTTTCCGACGCTGTCATAGAAAATTTGGATAAATGGAAACCCAGTCTTTGTGCTGAGAACGGACTCTAGATCTCCGATGCAGAAGAGAACTGTGAGCATCATGGCAAAACCCAGGAGGCCATTGAATATCATGCTACCGCAGATCGCCCGAGGGATGTTAATGGCTGCGTTTGAGACTGTATGAAGTCAGTATTAGGCCGTCTAAACGGAGGCGTTTGAAATCAAGTGACAGTTCTAAGAAAAGGGGTGAGATCCTTAAACCACGTACTTTCTTCAGCCATGTGAACACTTGCATCAGCTCCAACAAACGTGGCAACGTTTCCGAGAAACCCTACGCAATATGAAAGCCCTTGGGTAGGCCATCCTCCTTCATTGAGGCTCGTTGTGAATACCGACGCAGCACTGCCATGGGGTGAGTATACCCAGAGTACAGCCATTATTGCAATGAATCCAGCGCAATGAAACACCAAAATAAAAGTCTCGAATTTTGGCAGCAAGCCTGGAATGATCACGTTGATGAACACGGCAAGGGCAATGACGAGCCAAGCCAGAAGTGTTCCCTGCCACTGCTTCGGCTCATAATCGGGATAATCCAAAATGATCAGTCCCCGAATAATCGTCCCAGCAAACATCGATTCCGTAGCTACAGTAGCAATCCAGGCCAGTGACGTGAGCCATCCAATAATATAGCTTGAGAACTTCTTGTATCGCACGGGAGCAAGCATGTAAACCCAATAATATTGACCTCCAGCAATAGGCGCCATGGAAGCCAGCTCAGAGATCACCGTATAAACAGAAATAGTGGAGAGCCACGCAATGAGGAATCCGTAAACCAGCCCTGCTGGACCCCCATTGTTGAGACCTTGACTGAAGAGGGCGAGAACGGTCTCCCACGTGATCAGCTCGGCCATGGCGAATCCAAATATTGATATCAGGCCGAATCGTCGCTTTAGCACTTGTTTTTTCCCCAGCAGCGCTAATATGTCGCTATCGGCATTGCGCTCGCTGTTGCGTTCAGCAGCGGTCTCGCCCATGATGTAAACGGAGGGCCAGGATAGAAAGTGGGTGGCTGCATGAGGTGCGCGGGAGGAGAAAGCCGCGCCGCGATACCGATGGCTTGTTTGCGCCTCAAGTGAGGCTCAAGAAGTGGGAGTTGAATGGAAAGAAGCCTTTGGAAGTGAAAAATCAAGCTTTCATCAAGAAGGAGAAAGGCCAAATTAAGCTAAAGCTCGGCATCGCCGCTGACGCGGGTGATGAGCTAAGCTGCAACTGTTACTGGATACCGCTGATCCGAACACTGATCGGGAGCGTCTTGGGGGAACACGATGACAGGAGAGCAAGAAGCGAGCTCAGATAAAGGGCATGCGAACTGTGTTCAAGTGAGTAATGTATAGGAGGTTAATAACGATACCTCGAGATTTCATGATGGCTGAGACCAAAGGGAGGAAAGCGTCGGCGGGAAGGAAAAGCCCCTGGAACAAAGGAGTACCCCGCTCGCTTATTACTTCGTAGCGCTGGGCCAGCGGCCGCTCCTCAGCCACTGAGCCACCCACTCCACTTTCTCCGATCTCCTCTTCCGCTCTTTCTCCCCCAAAAGTCGAACACACAGGTGTAGCAGACAGAACCACATACGTCCTCAAAGCGGTCATTTATAAGAACGATGAATTGATGTAAGATTGCGCTTTGCACATGCTCCTGTTTCGCTGAGCCGTCCTTCCACACCCCGAACAACGTTTCGGGTACAGTGCTCACAATTTCCACTCAACATACAAAGCATTCTATCGGCAGCAAGCAAATCCACACCACAATCCTGCCAAGACTTAAACCAAACGACTTGAGAAATTCACATACGCGTTGGTTCTCCCTTTGCAAGTCTTCGTTCCTGTTCTTCTCCACCAGTTAGAATCCTGACCCCGCACCCAAAGGAAGTTCAACGGCGCGATGATCCGGGCAACCAAGCGGACCGGGTGTACGACATATCAAACTGCGTTTCGGACCTGTTTAGATTCGGTGGAATATTCGATTGGTGGAAATGCCAAGGTTACGATGACTTCAGGAAAAATATCTGCGAGCTCCCAAAATTATTTTCCATTCTTACAGTTACTCCCGTTCACTGAGGGATCGTTGCCCAAATGCGATCTTTGATGTCTTTTCGTTCATTCCTCTCCATTGCGCTCATAATTCTGCCCTCTTCTATTTTCAATATCAGTCGATTAGGATGAAGCAACTCATTGCTGGACTTGGAGCTGCTCTGGCAGCAGTCGCCTCAGCTGCCCCAGCCGATAATTATGAACGGGCCACTGCTGCAACTCCTAAAGTCTACCTCGCCGGAGACTCAACGATGGCTCGCGGCGGCGGTGGAGCACAAACACAAGGTAATAAACTGCTATTTCCGGCCCAGCACTCACAGCAACTAACGCCCACAGGCTGGGGAGAGTACCTCGCATACTCTCTCCAAGGCATAACGGTTGTTAACGATGCCATCGCCGGCCGATCTGCACGCTCCTACTCCGACGAATCCCGCTTTACAAGCATGGCAGACGTTGTTACTACTGGTGACTACGTAATCGTCGAATTCGGGCATAACGACGGCGGTTCGCTCTCTGTGGACAACGGTCGCTCCGACTGTGTTGGCTCGGGTAGCGAAACATGCACAACTGCGGCCGGGCTTGTAGTCCAAACATACGTCACTTACCTCACGAACGCTGCCAAAGCAATTATCGCGAACGGCGCAAACGTTATCATCTCCTCCCCGACTCCGGATAATACGTGCGAAAGTGGGACTTGTACCTACAGCCCGAGTAGATATACGGGGTATTGTAAAATCGTTGTTCAGAATGCCGGGGCGAAGGCGAGTTTTGTGGATCACGGGCAGTATGTTGCCAACGAGTTTGCCAAGTTGGGTGCGGATGTTGTAAATGGGTATTATCCGATTGATCATACGCATACCAGTCCTACTGGGGCGAATGTTGTTGCTGCGCAGTTTGTGAAGGGTGTCCTGTGTGCGAATGATTCTTTCGCGACCCATGTGAAAAATACGACGGCGAGTATTGATGGAAAGTGTTTGTAGAAATTGTGTTTGGTATTGGGGAAGCTTTGGGAGAGGAGAAGAGAGACACGGTATATATATTTATGGTAAGGATGTGTACATACTGCGTTGCTTCAGTGTAGACTATCTGGCGGCAATGGAACCAAGATGGTCCTTCTTTAAAGCTCTCAAACCCTCATGACTGCGGATTCTTTCTACGGCTCCGGACCTTGCTGCTTTTACTTTTTCTTCTTGCGTCAAACATTCCGAAGGAACTTCAATTCTTGAATGTACTTCCTCTTTTCTTGGGGTGGTGCAAAAGAAAGCAAGTGCGTTCCGCCTCGACTATTAATAGCCCAGCAGTTCCTGGTATGTCATTTGTTCATGACACTACGTGGGTCTTACGTGATATACAGGTAAGATTATCGTGAAGTCTTACAAGGTCGACAGAGCTAGCTGTTAAATTATTAGGGGCCTTCTGTAGGTTAGAAACCTTTCATACCCCTGGCGTTTCTGCCAGAGAGGATTTGGTTCGAGAATGGTGTCAAGAATACTTTTCCAGACCGTCACACTTGAACTGAGGTTGAAATATACATAGTGGCACGAGTACAGTGGCGATCTCTTCAACCTTAAAGTGCTTACTATACCTTATACGGAAACCTTATTCCCGTGCCAGGTGATGAGACATCCAACGTGACTTCGGGGAGTTAAGTTGAGTTGGAATTCAGGACCTTGAACTTGCTGGTGTCAAATTTAAGCTAGACATGTTTCTGACTTTCCTGTTCCTCGGCGTCAAAATCTCGAAGCATTAAGGCTGCCTGATTGAGTTTGCGGTATGCAACGTGCACAGCCTCAAGAACAACGAGGATAAATTTTACGATGGGGCGCATCTTACAGGGTTGATTGGGCCCATCGTACAAGTGCCGAAGCAAACGAGGATCCGAGCCCGCCAATGCCAACGTCAGCAACACGAATACGCATAGTCAATGCTGTGCTAATAAAAATTACGATTGCCCTTGGTCATGCTTTTCGGGGAAGACTTTTTCTATTCCCTAATTCTAAGAAGTCCTTTAGTCTTCACATGGTTGCATTTGCGAAATCGGCTTAAAGATGTTAATGATTCGCTCTTTAGAGTGAGGCCTTTCTCGATTGCGATTCCGCGGGATCCGGAAGTTCCGGACCACAGCAGGGAAACATTATGAGCGATGAAAGTCGAGGACGAATGGCTTCGATGGTTGGATTTTGCATCGTAATGATTATCTTGCAGGGTCTCTTGCTCATGATTCATCACCCGAAACATTCACGATCACTGAGTGGACAAGTAAGTCCAGCAGAACTGTTCGCCGGAGTTACCATATTTTGGGCATCTCAACGTTGTGCTGGATGGGTTCTGGAGGGAATGGGAGCGATTTTGTCTTTTGGACTATCCGCGTTGGCACCACACCATGGAGAGCGCCCAGGCAATCATAGATATGGCGGTCTTCAAATCGCAGATGTGCCACTCAGCTCAATTTGGGATAGCATTACATCTCTATTTGAACTGGTACTCATCACTTGGTTCCTCCATCTCGCGTTGACCTTCGTTCTGGACACCGGCATACCATTCTGGCTCGAACTTCGCCAAAGCCCTCAAAAGGCAGCCCATAAAGTTGACCTACGGCTTAAGGAAATCCTTAACATTTTGCAATCGACCTTTCAACACCCATTTTCAGGCTTCTTGGTTGAATTATCAGAGAGGCTTCGTGACGAAAACTCCAAGGCCAAAGGACAAGCCATTCATCTGGAAAGACGCCAAACGGATTACCCCAGCGCAGGTCAAAGGAGGCTGTCTTGGAATATTGCGGTGGATGAGGAAGCAATGGATGAGATGAAGGAGACACTGGGACCCCCAGGTGGATTTGGAGAGCTGGGATTCAATGTTGCGAAAGATGGAGTGAGGTTTGAAGCGATGGGTGTAGGGACAAGCTTTAACTTGATGTTCAAGTTGAGAGAGGATGAGGACGCAGGACTTGAAAGGGAGACGAGGGGAAAGCAAGAATAGATGATGTGGCCTAAACTTTGTAGTAAACACGCTCAAACAATCGAACAGAAGTATCACTAGTAGTAGATCCACTCATTTGGTGATCATCATGCCGGTCTGATTCACCGTCTTCAATCCCAACTTCAGCGAACGAACTCTCCCACCACGGACGAGAGTAATGAAGGAGAGATCCTCCGGCCTTGAGGCTCTCCTCTTCAAATCCTCGACCTTCTCCTTCAACTCATCCTTTGCTTCCTCCTTCGCCTCCTTCTTTGCCACAACTTCCGGCGCTAGCTTTCGCCTCCATATCTTCGGCACAAGGTTCGCAATCCACTCATCGGGGATCAGGCGAATGATTATCGCGACGGGAAGGGAGAGCGCGCCCAAGACAAGAGAATAGCCCCACTGAGGACCATTGAGAGGTGTGACATGGAACGCTTTACCGCCCACGAAAACAATCATTACTTGCCCTCCGATCATGATGGCGTTTATGGCAATGAAGAACCAGTTGTGTTGAATACCTTCGAAGATATTGAATTTGTTGTCCAGCCGGCGATTGCTATTTCTGTGAGTAAGTGGGCGAGAAGGGATCAAAAGGCTTACTTGAATTCATTGAAAATCTGCATCCAGACGAACGTGTTGAATACCAATGTACGCAGCTGGTCCTTCTCGTGATCTGAATGGTAGGAGAAGATGGTTTCCCCGCCAAAGTTGAGAATGAATGTCACCACGAGCTGGAATATCGCTTGACCGATGATCATCTTCCACATGTTGAGGGTAATGAGAGGTGCGGATTTCTTCTGTGGTTTTCGGTTCAGGATATTCCGAGTCGGAGGATCGGTAGCTAGGGCGAGAGCGGCAAATGTATCCATGATTAGATTAACCCAGAGAAGTTGCACGGCGGTGAGAACAGATTCCTCTGTGGCGCTGGCGACGGCTGAAACGAACGTGAGAATAACGGCTGTAATATTAACAGTGAGTTGAAACTTGGACACATGTTAGCGTTTGAATTTGGTTTTCACACAGGAGAATTTACCTGCAGGAATTTCTTGACAGCGTCGTTCACAGCTCGACCCCACATCAGAGCCTTCACGATCGACGCAAAATTGTCATCCATGAGAATAATTGCCGACGCCTCCTTGGCCACCTCTGTGCCCGCAATACCCATCGAAAAGCCAATGTCCGCCATCTTAAGGGCCGGAGCATCATTGGTGCCATCACCAGTCACAGCGACCGTTTCTCCCAGTTCTTTCAACCTCTTTACCAGAATGCGTTTATCGTCTGGGCTTGATCGTGCCAGTACTTGAAGATGGGGAATAGTCTGGTCCATTTCATCCTGGCTTAGTCTCCTGAACACCGGACCCTCCATCACTACCCCGCCTGTCTTGGGTGTGTAGATGCCGCACTCTTCGGCTATTGCTTTCGCAGTGAGGACATTGTCCCCGGTAACCATGCGAACCATCACTCCAGCATTCTGACAATCTTTCACTGCATCCTGGACGCCTTGACGCAGCGGATCTTGGATACCCACTATACCTAAGAGTGTCATGTCTTGGAAGACAGCGTGGAAATCTGCCTGGGTGCTGTCATCTTTGGATACTGCACCAGCTGGCGGCCAGCTTTCGAAGTCTCGGTAGAGGATAGCAATTGTACGCAGTGACCGCGAGGCGTAGGTAGAGATAACACCAGCAAGGTATGCGGAATCCTCAGCTGCTAGTGGGACGCCCGACAAGTCCGCATTCCTGGGATTCTCCACAATCTTGGTACATTTTTGTAAGAGGATTTCAGAGGCGCCTTTTGCATAGATCCGAAATCTGTCGTCTGCCAACCTCACTACGCTTGCCATGTACTTGTGGCCGGAGTCGAAGGGGACCACTTGCACCACGTTCGCATTCGATCTCTCCTCCTGAAGAGGACCGATTCCCAGGTAAGTTCGCGCAAACTGAAGAAGGGCGGTCTCAGTCTTCGATCCAATGATTGTTTGTTTTCCGTCTTGCTCTCCCTCAAAAGCGGTGGAGTTTTGGACGATCGATTGGGCAAGCAATCCTTTGGTTTCAGTACTGAGCTGTGAGAGAAAGTCATTGACGGCCACAACATTATCCTTGTCAATGCTGTGGCTAGCGTCTCTGTCATCTCCTGCAACTTCGCTCTTGGCGCCATTGCCGGTATCATCACCTAGGTCAGTTCTCTTCCCATATTGAACCTCCTTGCCAACTGTTGCGGCAACCATAGTCATCTTATTCTCTGTGAGGGTACCGGTTTTATCCGAGCACACAGTCGTCGCATTTCCCATCGTTTCGCAAGCACGTAAGACTCGAACCAAGTTGTTATCCTTGAGCATCCTCGTGGTCGCAAATGCAAGCGCGAGCGTCACCGCAAGTGGGAGACCCTCTGGAACAGCGACTACCACTACAGTAACGGAAACAATAAAGATTTGAAGGAAAGCTTGGCCCTTCTCAGACGGCGTTTGCGTACTGCCCTTCAGCTGTACACAAAACTTGATAAAGAGTGCTACGAAGAGCACCAATGCTGCTGCTCCACCAAGCTTAGCGATATACTCGGCGAGAACATTCAGCTTCTGTTGCAATGGGGTTGCTTCAGTCTCCTCCCTTAGGGACATCATCGTCTTTCCAAATGTCGAGTGCACTCCGACTGCCGTTACGAGAAAGGTACCAACGCCTTCAGTCACCTTGCTGCCAGAAAGTATGAATGGATCAAGCTTGCGGACATCTTCGCCAGCTTCAATTGCTCGGAATACCTCAGCCCCGGATTGTTTCTTGAGGAGATCAGATTCCCCGGTTGCAGAAGACTCGTCACACTTGATAGAATGCCCTTCAATCAAGACGCCGTCCACAGGAACCATATCGCCGGGCTCAAGGTGCATAACATCGCCGACGAGGACGTCGTAGACAGACAGCTCCTGCAATTTTCCAGACCGGATGACCTTTACCAAGCGATCTTCCTTCTTCTTGTTGAGCTTTACAAACTGTCTTTCTTTTTGCCAATCATTCAGTGTGCCAACAACGACTACAATGATAATCGCAGCCATGATAGCAACACCTTCGACCCATTCAATCTTCGCTTCGCCTGGCTCGTGTTTCTGTCCAAATGTTTGGTAAAGCCCTAGAGAAAGGGAGACCACGGCAGCGATCGTAAGGAGTATCAAGACCTTGTCGTTGTAGGTGATCCAGGCCAATTCCAGCAAACTCTTGCTCTTCTTCTCAGGCAATCTGTTATCTCTGAAAATTCTCTTCCGATCGGCAAACGATTCGCCAGAACCGCGTGTCGTCACCTTGTCAGCTGTACTGACAGTGACCAATCCATCCGATTTGGTGGCAGACTTTCTTGGAGAAGATGCGACCCCAGTTGCATCTTCGAAAGTGACAGTCCCATCCAGGGAGGCTTCGTCAGAGCTCAACCCACTTGTGATATTCGATCGTAATCCTTTCTCCAGACCAGCAATTCCACCAAGCGCATGAAAAGCACTGAGACTCTTGGGATTGAGGAGTTTAGACAATTGTCCAGGCGAGAAGGCGAACTTGTTCTTTTCGACTTCAAAGAGGTGTTCCGTACCGGGGTCGGGAGATAGAGCCATTTTATCGCTCAATATGGTTTCGGCAGTGACTTCTTGAATGGGTATGGATTCGACAACTTTTGGAAGATTGTGAACATCTTCAGGATTGTTGCTTGAGATATTCCCATTTGAAGGCAACGATGAGCTCTTATGATACGTAGCATGTTAGCAAAAGCACGAGCAAAGAGCAAGCAATGGTCCAAAAGCTATGCCGCGACTTACGGCCTGGGAGTGTAATGGAGCCTCGTCGCCTCCGCCCTTTTCAATATCTTGAGAAGCCATGATACGGCTGGCCAGTGCGAAGGACACGGTTTGTTCTCTTGCTGGAAGAAGACGGCAATAATGGAGAGGTGTCCTAATATTTGGGTTTCGTGTTCAGATCGGTACCTGAACTAAGCAGGCATTGGCCAAGCTTCAGGAACGCTCGGGCAGATGGACTATGCGGAAGAATGGCAAAGAGTCGTCAAAATGGGTGCCTGTGTATTGTTTCAGAATCGAAAACAAAACAGAAAATTAAAAGTAAGAATAGAGAATGGCACCGTTGGGTTGTGAATGCGCAATGATCAATCGTTTGCTGGCAACTGGATGAGAAGGGTCGCACGGTTATGTACTGTACAATGCTAGCTCCGCCACCAATGCAGAATTGTGAGCGCGAGGCTGCCCTCGTTTGATTAGACAGAATCATTTTTGTTTGCCTGTGCCAAGTGCCAGCGGAGAGTGGTCATCTTGGCATATACGTCTGTCGTGGACTCGTGGGCGGACGTTGCAACTTGCAGCCCAACATACCACATCCTATCCACAACCCGAGTTGAGCGCAGCGGCTTGAAAGCCGGGGTCCCACCAGGTGATCATCAGGAGGCCAAGACCTAGAAGTGATGGGTTTCGAGTTCCAGGCTGAGGCCGGTGACGTCTGTGGGGAGGCTGAGCAGAGTGGATTGCCAGTGGGATGATCTTTCCTACGTCGAACGGGGAGGGCAGCCTTCACGCTGCGGCGGGCAAACCCCAATCGCTCGCCGTAGAAGGGTTCACCATCCGAATGCCCACACCACGCAACCACTCGAACTTAGACTTAACCACAATAACGACACAACTTAGGAGGATACGCTATATTCGGACTCCTCGAATTATTTTCTGTAATCTATGAAGTTTTGGGAATTTTCTAAGCACTTTGAAAAATACCAATTTTTTGGTGTTCCAACAGGGACGAGTGGTCGGTTGAGTGGTGAACAAATTCTAAGTTACGTGACGCCCAATACGGCCAAGCATTGGCGCCAATGCTGACCCATCTCCTCTGACCTCTCAAGACTTCTCCCAAGGACTTACCAAGAAATCTTTCAAGATTTTTGCAGTTTCCAAGACTCCTAATTTCCCCTCAAGTCTCCCCTAGGCTTTTTTTGAAACTTTCCTCCAAGGCTCTGTTCTAGGCTTTCTCGAGGGCGTGGCTTGCACAGTTCACGTGTCAAACTACCGTACGTGGTGCTGTCCCTTGCATTCACAACTGGTCCACTGTGGACCTAGGCAGAGCACCTCTCGACGACTGAGAATTTGATGGCCCTTTCGATGTTTAGAGGCTGGGGTAAAGATCGTCACCTACGAAGTAGGGCCATCATTTTCTGGGCTTGCGTACCCTTCGCACTCACTACAACTGTGTATAGGACACCACCAGGTATGGAGCCACTTTCTCCTATCAATCTTTAACTGTATCTTCACCTCGTAAGAGATCCTATGTACTTCCATATTTTGCGCGGTTGAAATAGATTATGGTTGAAAGCACCTCAAGTGCATTGTCTTCTGACTTTGCTGTGTTTGGCGAGTTCCTGAACAGCAAGTAGTTGCTTCTGCCAGTTCAGTCCCGCAAAGGAGGGTCGCCCTTGCAATTTATTTTATTTCAGGAATGCACTTCTGCGAACCTCAGACATTAGTTTGTCCTAGGCAGAAGTATGCCTGCTTCCAAACAGTCTCAAGTTTCTACAATGCTCGACGGTAGAGGTGCCGTGATAGACAGCTGGTAACAACCCATATGTTCTTTTCAATCAGCAGTCTATCGCACGTTACGTATGAGCTTGCCGAGCCGAAAACATACCCCTACGAAAGACTCACGCTCTGCCACAACCGCCACGCACCATATCCCACAACCCCAACCACCGCAGAAATCCCTGCCCATCTAGACCCTGCCTCTAGCAGGATCTGACCAGCTAACCCCTCCACAGCCTCTGCATCGTTAGCTCTAGGAAAAGGCTCGTCCGGAATGCTTGTCCCCAGGATCTTGCACAAAGGAGCCCATCCCTCGCTCAGCTCCATCGTATGAAATTTCTCAGGCGGCGTCACTTCCCTAACATACTCGTTGTGTTCGTCCATTCTTCCTATCTGTATTCAGTATATCTCAGGAAAATGCGGTGATCAAGAAACTCACTCTCCGTCATTGGACCCCATATTTCCTCTTGCCTAACGGCAGTGTTAACATATTTAGCAATATTGGCTGGCGAGCACATATTGGCAAGACCGACTGCTCCAGAAATTGAGTCACAAATTTCGGATACCATCTTTTCCCCGGGACAGGCGCAAGGAACCAGTTCAAGAACCCCGCACTAGCCTGCTTTGTCACTGATTCCCAGCTCTTCCACCACGTCGCCCGGTTCCGTCGCACGCATAAAACTTCAGCGTCTGGATAAAGCTCAAGTAGCTCCGCGATGAAGCAGTTTCCTAGTGCACCGGTGATGGCTACGAAGCCAGCAGTGGCTTCACGCAGGAGTTTGAGGCGGGGTTTATCGTGGCGCGCGGTGAAGATCTGAGACCAGAGCTTGACGTAGGCTGTAGTTTGTTAGTTGTGCAACCATGGGTATGAAGCAAAATGAGAAGACCCAACGAGAAGAGTGGGGTGGGGTCACTACGGTCTTCTCGACCAAGAAGCTGTGAGCCGCCGTGCATCACGGGACCATCGAGCAGCTTCTCGAGCGCAAGTGCCATCGACAGGGTTCCTGTTCTTGAGTATCCTGCTCCAGTGATCTTTAGTGACCTTGTGGGGTCTGTTGGAATCGATGGAACACCGCCCATTATCGCACTAATGTTACTCTTTACTGCCGTAAGGCTGAAGTGTTGTCAATGCCCGCTAGACAATTTTCTGCGGGTATGAGGAATATAAACCACATAAATATGTCACTCTCTCAATGTATTAATATTAAACAAGCGGGTCATCGCAGCAGCGCACCAGGCGCAGGTTACTTCTTGCAGAAGTTGATGTGCGGTTGGAGCTTGGCAACCGTCAATGCAGTCAGCACTCTCCTTACGGGGCTACGATCTGCGCCCATCCCCAGACTCGTCTAGAGACGATGCATATATACGTACGCCCCAAAGAGCTCAGGGACGTTGAGTTTATGGACGTACGTAGATCCGGAGTTGTGGTTCGATTGGAGGACTTAAGGAGGGGGGAGGGGAGGGGTATCAAGGCACGATTTGGCTTTCCTCGACCCCTGGATGGGATGAGCTTACATTAAGGTCAATGATGAATGCTTGTGTCCCTCTTGATGTTCCTGAAAATGTGGGGCATTGGGTGTATTAATGTTTAAGGGATGGAGGTCAAACTTATCTTCTCTTTTGGGCCAAAGCTGTGGGATCGGCTGGCTCTGCGCATGGGATCTAAAGAGGACCCAGATATATTAGCCTCTACGAAGTAAGTGACAGGAACTGCATTGAGAAAATTCCAGACCTAACCAAGTAACATTGTTCCTTCGCCGGCCTGTAGAAGTGTTCACTGGCCAACCGCCCAAACTACTCAACCGCCCAAAATCGCTACCTTCAAAAAATCATAATTCAATACCCACATAATATTTTACTACCAAATTAATTGTTTTCTGAAGCTTTTTTAGCCCCTCAATATGCCTGTAAAGAAAAATTACTATGCCGAATTTCCTGACGATCCTAACGAGCTCTCTGAGAGCGTGTGATTACAGATGGCCCATGACGATTATCTCGAGTATAATACTAGTAAGAAGACTAAATCTATTCGAAAATGCACGAGAGAGTATGGAATTGCATATGAAACCCTTCGAGATCGAATTAATGGAGCGAAACCAAAGGAACAAGATATAGCGGCAAGATAGCAGTTATTAGGGAGGCAAGAGGCGGTTATTTAATATTATATTCGAAAATTGGAAGTATGGGGCTGGCCCCTAATGGTTTATTAGGTTCAAAAGATAGTAATTAAGTTACTAAAGGTATAAGGAGAAGATCTAGAAGAGAACCCTCTTGGAACGAATTAGTATTAAGGATTCCTAAACCGCTATCCCGATCTCAAATCTCGAATTATACTATTCCTTAATAAAGATCGAATTATTATAGAGAATCCAGAGCAAATTGCGAGATATTTTGAGCTCTTTTATATAAAGAAAGCATAATATAATATATATAATAATAATATTTATAATATAGACGAGAAAGGAATAATAATAGAGATACTAGCCAAAGTACGGGTTATTTGCTCTAGGAAGACTAAAGCTCCCAAGATTATATAATAAGGTAGTCGAGAATAGGTTTCGTTAATTAAGTATATATCTTTAGATAGATAAGTTCTTAGTCTATACGTTATTTTCAAAGCCAAGGTTCTCTTTAAGGATTGGATTAAGGCATTGCCTACCGGGTATATTTGTGCCTCTAAGAAGGGTTAGACAGATAATAAGCTTTATATCGAGTGGTTTAAAGAGATATTTAAACCAGAGATATTAAAATCAAAGAAGAGAGAGTATAGAATACTTCTTTTTAATGGCCATAGTTCTTATATAATACTAGAAGTAGTAAGGTTTTGCAAAGAGAAGAAGATAATTCTTCTTTGCCTTCTAGCCTATTTAACCTATATCCTTTAACTATATAATATAGGAGTCTTTGGGCCCCTAGTATACTTGTATTACATATATCTTACGGAAAAGACTTGTTAGGGTATAGGATATTTTATTAATAAGCTCAAATTTCTAGAGATATTATAATTAGTACGAGCAGATACCCTTAACTACTATAATATTACTTTCTCTTGGAGAAAGTATAGCCTTTTTCTATTCGATCCCGAAATTATTATTAGTATACTACCTATAGTGATTTTGCAAAGAGAAGAAAATATATAAAAGGCTCTTATATCCCCTTCTCCTCGTATTTCTTATCCTCTTGCTTTATCTAGTCGACTAACCATATCTGGTAATCCAGCTTCTTTAATTATTATAACTCTAGAGAATATTACTAATATTAAAGCTATTCTCAAAGTTAATAAAGAAATTAATAGCAAGCTTAATAGAGTCCTTGCCTATTAATTAATAATTCAAGTCTCCCAAATTAATATATAAAGGCATTTCCAAGATCTTTAGCTCGTAGTCCAAAAGCTTGCAAATTTAGCTACTACAGTAATTACTAAGACTACCCTCTCTTAAGTAGTTAATAAAGAGCTAATTAATATAGCTAATAAGTATAAGAACCGGAAAAAGGTATTAAAAAAGGATAAAGACAAGATTACAGATATAAGGGTAATAAATATCGAATTAATAGAAAAGGTACTTAAAGTAAAGGTAATTAAAAAGAAGGAGATAGAGGAGAAGCTTATAAAGAAGAAGAAACTAAAGGCTTTATATAAATTATAGAAGGCGCTTTATAACTATACCCTTAATGATTTTCGAAAATAGGGCCCTGATTTACTTTAAGAAGTTAATGATTTTAATACTCTTATAATTCGATTATTAAAGCTATTAAAGCTATTAAAAGCTTTAAGAATACCAAAAGCTAGTAAGACGAAAACTTCTCCTAAAAGCCCTCCGATTATATATACGCTTCCAGAAATCGATTTTCCCAATATCCCTTAATTACTAATAAAGCCTCGATTAACTATACTTCTCCCTTTTACCTAATTAACTATTCCCTTACTTTTAAAACAATGATTTCCCAAGAAAACTATAAGGCAGAGAATAAAGAAAATAAAGGAGCTAGTTAATAAGGTAATTGAGCCTCTAGAAATCGTTACTACTAGAGAAAGAAGAAGTAAAAGGAGGCTATTTTATAATGAGGTTCTTATAAAGGCTCTGGCTAATTAGAAAGAGGCATAAGGTTTACTATATAATAGCGAATTTAATTAATATTTGAGCTTTTATAATCGAAAAATCGAATAGTACCTAAATTATAATTGAATATTTAAGTGATATGAGTAATTCTTTATTCCAAGAATTAGGTATTTAAATTTAGGCTTATTACCTCACTAAATGCAAGTTACTAATTCTTACCCCAAAGAAAATTTAATAAGAAATATTATTATAATAATGCAAAAAACCTTCTAATATACTCTCTTATATTAAGCTATATATTACTAAAGAATTTAGAATATTATATAAGATATTTAATTAATTATATAGAAATTAGTAAGGAATAGAGATAGCGGGGTAAAAATTAGTACAAAAATGCCAAAAATGCCACTAAATTAATAATTTTAGTAATACCATATAATTTTAAAGTAATATATAGCCATTAGGGGATTGAGAATACTATAAAGTATTAGTATTTAATAGGAATTAAAATTTTATTAAGGCGTTAATTAAATATTAAGATTTTAATTTTTGGGCGGTTGAGTAGTTTGGGCGGTTGGCCAGTGAAACCTTCTAGGCTGTTGGTAACATGGCGTCGAAAATCTTATGGTGACTTTTATCTCGCCAATAGACAAGAAGACGTTTACCCCCAATAATGAACCAAGAGATAGAACTGGCATTCACTGTATACCTACTACGAAGGCGCGAGGCGTTGAAAACAGTCTAGCTGCTAGTAGCCGAGGTTCACCAAAATTGCTACGTTTGGAAAGTCATACCAAATCTCAACAGAACGCCCGAAACTCTTTAAAAGTCGATTAATAATAGAAGAGAAGCAGATCTAACTTTCGAAGTCGTTTTTTACGGTAGTTAAATATAGGGGGGTTGTGGGGGTTTCTGTGTTGCGAGGGTCAAAATTGCGCTCATCCCCGCTTAGGGTGTTGGACGAATTTTAATGCCGCTCGCCTTTGTACCATGACCGGGAAGAGTTTATGGGCACAGTCAGTAATTGATGACTTGCAATCCCTTTCTCTATTACTTGCACTTCAACCAACGTCTCTAATCCTTTATTTGGCTTAAAGAAAACAATCTTCGCACCGATTCGCGTCTTCAGAATCTTCAGAAATTGGAAAGTCTGCCCACCCATGCTTGTCAAGCTATATTGCTTTCTTTGAACTATAATTAAAACGTCCATGTGCTCGTTCATATTAAACAAGAAGCTACCCGTACTTATAAAACGTCAGGATCTTTTATAAAAAGATGCCAGAGACCGCAGAGTCTCGCATGTGATGCTTCGGCTTAGACTCCTAGTGCTCACTCCACTCCTCTGCCTGGTTTGGCCTTTTGATGGGTCAGCCAGGTTAAAACATGGGTTGACGGCTTTGCTATTGCCACTTTGGTGATGTGGTTTGTCTTAACAATTGTGTTCATTGTTACCGAGTGGCTTCGAGGACCCCGGGCGGTAAGGCCCTTGGGTCTGTTGAAACCTCGTGTGACATGGACTAGCGCCTGGATCGATCTATAGTAATAGCCTATTACAACACTTACCAGCAATGAATGCCCCCAATATTGGAACAGTAACCGCTCTTACTACGAGTGCATCTAAGCTCTGATATCTCTTCAGCCGTGCGGGTTTAGATATCGAAAGTAAAGCTATGTTCGCTTAGCTCCAGCTAGTTCAGCATTCACTACCGTATTAATTCTTGCGGTCCCTCTAAAGAAGATGCCTAATCCAGATTATGAGAAGACGGAGCATGGAGAGGTAACTTTCTCGACATAGAAATCACTACGACTAAGATTAAAGCAAGAATATCATGGGAAGACGGCAGCGGAAGGCGGAGCACTGGCTAGGACTTTTAGAAGAGGATTTGCAATGGGATATTCAAATGTTATATTTTGGCGATAGAATATAAAGACCGAATGCCGTTGTGCCTAATAGTCATACTTTCTGGTCATAGAAGTGTTGATGCGAACATTTCGAGTCCAATAAGAAGAAAATGTAAGTCGTGGATAACAATAACACCGCGGAACTTTCCTTCCAAGGAGAACTCCCACAACCTGGACGGGAACTCAGCCGCATCAAGAAATCCACTCATTCAAAAGAAATAAGAACGAAACAAACGAATGAACAAACCTAATCATCAACCAAAGAACGAGTCGTTCCTGACCCCCAGCTCGACGAAGCATCACTGTCGTCATCACTGTCAAAGTCACAGAGCTCATCCATCTCCTCCATATCGATCCCTCTCATGGCAGCACCACGCTCCTCCACAGGGATCCCATCATACAGCGTTGAGAAAGTAGCTAAGAAATCATTGATCACTTTCTCCGTTTCCTGCTGTGTGAGCTCGATATGGGCAGCTACTCTACGTTCAGACCTTCGTTTCTTCATGGCATCGACCTCATTTGTAAGATCATTGATTTCCCTCGGAGGTGGACCTCCCGGATGTTTTGGGGATGGCCTCGATTGTGGCGGGCCACGTGTAAGGTTGACGATGACAGGTGGTGGTGGAACTTGGACTTGGAGTTTGCCGCGCAGGATGACAATGTAGCCTTCGGTCTTCTTTTTCTCTCTGCCGAAACGTTTGGACTCCCACCATTTCCAGTTGACCAGGAACTCAGTGTTCCACTGTCGACGCGGGTAAGCGGGTCTCTGGTTCTTCTCGTTGACCAACGCGTAAATAGCAGTGCTGATTTTTGGCGAGACATTGACCATGTCGCTAAGAGTTGGTGGAACCGTATACTCGTCGTCCATTTCTCTCATGATGAAAGACTGGATTTCTGCCATTGAGGAGGGGATTCTGTCCACGCTGGCGACGACTTCTGTCTTGATGCGACCAAGGTTGACAATCCCTGGAATTCCGAAGAGGCGGAACCTGGTGTGGGCTCTCTCTTTTTCGTGGGTCTTGATACTGACTCGGTACATCTCGTACTCGCCGTCGTCTCTGGGTGGTGAAGCGAGGACGGGAGGTTTGGGTGGAGAAGGAATTTGAACCCTGTTGGTGTTAGTATTGAGAAATTTGGCTTAGTATTCTTTGAGTACTGACTCCTGTTTGATTGGAGAAATATCCTGGACTGGTGAGTTGAGAATGGTAGCGGATGAAGAGATTGATGCATCGTCGGGGGAGGACTCTTGAGCAACCGATTCGGCAGCCTTAACAAGCTGTGCCGAATTTGCTGGCTTCGTAAGATCAACAAGACTGAATGCAACAACAGAAGCAATTCCTTCTCCTCGAATTGCCCTAAGAAGCTTCCCTAACCCTTTCTTGAGCTGGCCAAGTTTGTTGTACTCCGAAAGTGTTAATGGCTCATGTCTGCACAGATTAGCTCCAGGTTTGTATGAGCCGAAATGGAGACATACTTCTGAGCACGGATCTGAAGCACAATGAGAGAGACAATGCACTGCAACATCAAAACACGTAACCACGATTCATTGAAGCATTCTTGGAATTCCTCCCACTTGTCTTTATCCACACCCAACGCGGATAGAAGCCGTTTCCATGGCTTCTGGGGCGATTGCCCCGTGCCTTTTGTGGCGTCGCCCTTTTCGAAGGACGATGCCTTCTCGACTGCGATAAGTACTGCCTGATACTGTTCCTTACATTTCATTGGAACGTGCTCAAAATTCTTCCTGAAGTTTTCCTTAAAGCAGGTCGCATTCTCGTTCACCTGTCTCCCGATCTCGGACAGGAGGGTGGCCGAAAGAGATATCTTGGACGCCAGCTCTCTGGACTTGGGGGTCGGGGTAAAGCTAGAGAGAACGGAAGCTGCTTTTAGGCCATACTCAGCAGCTTCCAACATGAACGCCCCTGGGAGATGTTTCGCGTCCATCTTGCTAAGACGTGGTAAGAAATGCGGGGTAAGTGGACGGGCAGACGTTCGCAATTTGATGAGATGTATTCTCGATTGGTACTCTGTATCTTAGAATCAAATACACGACGAAAGTCTCGTCAACTCATGAATTAAATCTCGGGAAGAAGTATAGTATGAGGAATCGGAGAGGCTGGCTGAAATGGGGACAAAAAGGGAGGGCCGACATAGAAGCTGCCCTCACTAGCTGCAGCACTATGGTCATCGAACGTGGAACGGAACAATAGGCTATGGCTGTGGTATGCAGGCACTTGACATATGATTGGACATTGTACTCGGTGAGGATTCATCTGTCCTGCAGAATTGGCTGGCAAAATAATCACGTGCAACGAGCGAACAAGTACAGGTGAAAGAGTTGAATAGGACAACGTGACGGAAGGAATAAATGTAAACCTTCACGATATACTACGTTATGGATTAAGTTTTGAAGAAAGTAAATAAGATTCGGCACGTGAAAAATGAAAGGGGCAAAAGGATCGGCCGGGAAAAGCGCCGACCCCGGTTAAGCGAGAATGCCCCCCTTTTTCTTCCCCCCCCGTCCTGCTCTCAATGACAGGATCTCTCAGGAAGGCAGCAGTCACGTAATACTAAATTTAGAATGCATGGGCCTTTCTACATAGTAATTTAATCAACCATCTGTCCACAAAACTCGGTGCAAACCACGAACCGCGGATCATCTTTCTCTCTCTTTCCAGAACTCTATTTTTGAACCTAAGAGGTTCATATTCCTCTCCAAACTACGTACCAGCACTCCGACTGCCTTCTAACCAGAGTGTCTTCGTCACGGCTTTTGAATCGGACCTTCCCCGCCGTCTCCGCAACCTTTCATCCGGGACGTGTCTCAGCCTCATTCTAGGTTTGCCCGTCAAGTGGCCTCGACTCGTTCTTTATCCAATTATCGTAATCACCCAGGTGCCATACTCAGAAGTCTTGATTCGAAGCGAATTGACACCGCGCTCTAGTTGGTGACCTCGCATTCTTTCACCTGTCAACACGCGACAGGGGCAGGACCCGGAGAGCCACGAGTGCCAGCTCCATGGAATGGGAATCTTCTGGGACTGCAAGGAAGGTTCCCCGGCACTACCTGCAGGTGCAAGAGGACATGGACATAAGTAGAGACCTCTCGTTGTTGAGTGCTGGGCAAGTTTGGACAAATCAGCGGTCGAACGGTTGATGCTCCGCAGCTGTTGCTTGACTCCCTTTGCCACGATTACTCACTGGCGAATGAGCATGAAGATGGAGACCGAAGTGCCCAGTGTTAGCACACGGGTGGCGTAATCTCTTTCGTGTGGCGTCGAAATGGGTGCTCCCATCGAGATCTTCATGCTAAATACGGGGTTGATCAGAGAGCGCATCTCATATTTAGACAAGGTTCTCAAGGTATGCTCATTTCTTTCGCACCAGCAAGGGCAATCCTGCATCACTCACGTGCCATGAATCAGCAATCTCGACATGTACCCAACGATTCCGTTGGAACTAAAGCACTCACTGTTCTCACACCGATATTCGCAATAGGCATCCTCTTCTACGCAGTGAGAATATATACCCGCGTCGTCCCCAAATACAAGCTCAATGTCGCCGACTGGGCATGTACCATTGCAACAGTTCGTATACCCCACCTGATGCCCTATCAACTTCATTATTCTGACATCAAAATCAGTTGGCAGGATCCGTCACCTACACCCGCTTCGCCGCAGCCGTAAGCTTCGGCTTTAGAAAGCACAGCATCTACGTCTCCCACCCATCCGTCCACAGAATCTTACAATGCCTCTTCGAATGATTCTGACCGGCCTCATGGCTTCCACCTTCTGCCGTGTCTCCGTCGCCTTCCTCCTCGACTTTGCCCCCTCAAGAACATGTAAAATCGTCCTCTGATTCTTGACCATCTTCCAAATAATAGCTCTCCTTACCACCGAGTTTATTGAATTATTTCAATGCAGACCTGTTAGAGCGTTTTGAGAAGTTGTGCCGGGTGAGAAGTGCAATACGCCGTGTGTGATGTGGACGCTAGTATATGGGTATGCTGGTTCGTCTCCCGTCTCTCTACTTGCTTGCATATATTGACGCAGGCTTTTGAAAAGGATCGGAATACTGGGTGATTTGAGGTTTGCAATTATGCCTATGTTCCTGATCTGGAGGCTGAGTAGATCAGTAATCGAACGGTGCCACCGTTCTTATCGAGTTACGTATAAGTAATATTATTAAAGTAAAGGTTATTATAGCTACGTGAGTCTTATTAAAGCGAGAGTCTTAGCTGATAAGTTTATCCCGAAATGCGAAGAGATTAATAAAGTAATCGTCTCCGTAAAAGTCTGAATAGTTTCCTGGGATACTAATAATGTCGCGATAGAATTTTTCTGAGACGCCAGGTTGAAGTTGGCTTATGTGATCCAGGGCCTTAGCGCAGAAAATTGATAATGGCACTCATGAGGCCCCTATGGTCATTCTGCTCCGATTGTGTTTCCGTCCAGGAAAGCAGACGCATCGAAGTTGAAGTTGTCTTCCGCCCCTTGGTGTAAGAAAGTGTCGAAATCGAAATCCATGAGTACATCCAGGCTACTTTCATTGGGAGCAAATTCCGTCTCATTCGAGAAACCGAACTGTGAAAGTTAGCACGATAACATGAGGTTGGATTGGTAAAACTCACAGGTTCGCCGCCCAAACCGAACCCACCAACCTGTAAGGAGTCTGGCTGCGAGACCACACCAATATTGGCAGCTAGACCAGTTGCCGGCGCTGATGGACGGGGCATTGCTCGTGTCTGAGGAAATTCTATGCCTTGCTGGATTATTTCAGTTGCACCTTGCGCTGGCCTTTCCACGGCGGGAGGGGGTGCAAGACTTTCCGCAAGGCTGGGGCCCTCCACAATAACTGGATGGTAATTCTCATTGTGCTTGTTTAGAAGGTTTCGAGAAACGAATCCCCTCGCGAAATGGACACATGAGGAATGTGCGCATCGAAAGTGTCGCTGATGTTGGGACTCATGCCTGGCTCGCTGCGAGGAAGATTCAAAGCCGTCGGAGCTGAAGACACAATGTAAAAATCGGCATACATAAGCCGAGGCTCCATATGTTTCTCGGAAAGATCGAAGGTCCTTCTCGTTGATCTCGGGATAGGTCACCTCAGCCATGCCATCTAATAAAAGCTCAGCCGCGTGTTGATAATAGTGACGGACGGCGCCGAAGTGTGTTGGATCCATATCACACGAGCCTGAAGAAATCACTAAGGTGTATTAGGACTCGGCAAGTAAATTTGACTAGATAGGTGCTTACTTTCGGCGGACTTATCAGAACCATTCTCTCGGGCCATCTTGGCTCGGAACACGAGGATATCCGAGACTAGTCTCTTGACACCCGGCATCTGATTCAATGGCTCGAGAGTAGGGTCTGTAGTCCCGTCCTTCCCCGCTGTGATATTAGATCCTGAAAGTAGTACTTGATTATCTTTGCTAAATCTCATCAAAAGGTGAAGTTGAGCTAGGAGTTCTGTGGAGAATTGTCGTTCTTTGTGCTGACTCAGAAATGAGCAATATGTCAGAAGATGCTTGTACCAGAACATATCGGCGTAAATTAGGAGGCCGTGAAAACCGCGAGCGATAATGGCTGCTCTTTGAGCTTCTGTTGAATGTGCTGGTAGTAATGAGACGCAGGAATTTAGAAATGTCACACAAGAGAAGGAAATATCCAAATGTGCATTCTCACGCCATATAAAGGGGCGCTCAGCTTGATAGTCTTCTTCAAGAATATACCTATGAAGGTCAATGATTTCTTGCCCCTTGTTACGAGGAGAAATGCTTACTCTTTTGCTGAAAAGTGTACAAAATCGACAGTGCCAGCAGGACCCTCTTCGATAAGAGGCCGGCAAAGATCCAGTATGTCTTTTCGAACTTTCGTCTTGGGTGTCAGGGTAGTATTTGAAGGGTCAAAGGCAATACCATCGAGGAGCTCGTAGCTCTTTAATATCCTATAGGAACAAGCCATCCACCCCAGAATTCTAAGTGCCATGTGTCTTGCATTCCACGGGATGTTAGGGTCCATGATCCTGTCGAGAATACGTCCGTACCTACAAGTCTTTTAATGACCCAGAACGACAAGACACGCAGAACTGCGGATGTATTTCTTACGCTGCTTTGAGACCCTTTGGTAGTCTCGAGGCCGTTTCCTCCAAAGCTGCATCGCTGTAACAATATTTGAGCTCGTCGACTACTAATCGAACCCACAAGAACATGCCTACTCTTTGATGAGCATTAACCCTTGCTATGGTGTTGAACACTGACCATTTGCTCTTTCCATCAATATCGATTCAATTCTGCCCAATAGATCTTGATCAGATGTGCAGAGTCTCGTTATCTTGTATTTCAAGAAAGACCGGATATCCCAGTCTACTTCCTGCCGGCCGTCCAGTGAGATTCGAGGCTGCTCAGAAAGCTTCTTGTAGATATGCACCTCTCTTCGACTTGAGTAGAGAACCTTACACGGTGTTACTAAACCTGCACAAAGAACCTCAAGTTCTTTTAAGATTGCTTTCTGATTTTCTTTTGAACATTCGTCGATCCCGTCAATAACGATTCTTGTGTAAGAGGTTATCTCGAGAAGCTGCGGAACAAGAATTCTGAGCTGAGCCATCCCACAACTTGCCCCGTTATAGACAAATTCGTTAGCGATAAGTGTGCAAATATCACGATGCTGTCTCAGAATTTGAACTACGATGGTTGTCAGGATCTGGTGACACACGTTGCCAGTGTCTTGACTATTGCAAAAGTAGTAGCAGACAGTTAGACCCGGTGTTTTCGTAAGCGTTTGAACAATGTATGAACACATGATACTCTTGCCTAGAATAGTAGTATTAGCACCAACATTGTTTTAGGATGCTATAGGAGTGTGCCTGATCCAGGCTTTCCCTCAAGCCAGAGGCACGGTCGTCGCGCATCATCCTTAATCCAACTCTTTAATTGCGGCTCGTTCGCGATCCACTCGCAGGTTTTATCATGCCGTCTGTTTGATGTTCTTTCGTACACGGCCTCCTGGATTTTATCATCCATAGAGAGCCACGCGTGACAGTGCTGTAACTGAGAGATTCTTGCGCTCTTTTCGTTTCCCTCTAGGATTTCTGATTCTCGTTCTTGCCTCTGTCGAATGTCATCTTGAATTCTGGTGCGGGACTCTTTCCCTTCTACGATGTCGAAAGAAGCAGCCTCGATGTCGACGAAATCTCTCTGTTTCTTCAACGACTTGATGATGTTGTCGAACCGACTTCCGAAGTCCTTCCAGAGGGAGAGAAAAATAATATGCCATGCTATAGTCGGTTCTTAGTAAGATTTAAACTGAAAATAGTGAAGACATAATTGAATACCTCTCCGTCGAAAGAATTTGTATGCGCGTTGATGAAAATCCAGGATTGTAGTATATACTGAAGCAAGGACGTGCTGAAATTCGAGATTATTGGCGAAAGTCTCCCTGTAACGGTCAAATCGTGGTAGAGCGTCGCCTATATCGGCATACGCTGCAAGAAGTGCTTCAAAGACATCCCGATAGTGACTTGCAATCTAGGAGGATGGATGAGCTGAGTCTGGTCTTAGAATCATAAGGAGCGGGGATGCGAACCTCAAGCATCAACTTGATCGGGGCCTAATAAGTTTCGTGAGATTATTTCGTCCTTTGCATGGAATGAGAAATTGAGTACGAACCCACACATATGGTAAGTAGGGGGTTCCGTTACATAACACCTCAATAATCTTGGTATACTTCTCGATTCCTCTCAACATAGGTTCGATGCGAGCCATATTCTGGGCTGATAGCCGCCTCCTCTGTCTGCTATCGATCTCGCGAACAGCCACCCATACATCTTTCAACTCGGTCGACGCAAACTTGTGGGCATCTTCCTCAGATATCGAGCGTTTGAGCTTCCCAAAGGCATCAGCGATCACATCTCGAGGGTTCGCCATATGCAGTCAGAAAGCAAAAGCAAAATAACAGATAATCAAGAACGTAAAAATAAAAAATGCGGACGAGAATAAGGAATTATTGCAGCGAGGCTATGGTATGGTGCTGACGCGATGGGCTTTCTGCAAGGCAGCCCATGGCTTGACTCGTTAGCACAGACGAGCACTGCACTGTACTAAGGAGCAGGCCTTTGGTTTTGATCATCAACACCACGGGGTCTCTCGACAGACACAAAAAATACTTCCCTTGGTACCGTTGGCCCTTGTATGTGCAGTAATGGGATGAGCTATCTGAAATGAATGTGCGGACTGACAACACCCGACCGGCCAAGCGTCCTCGGATCAACAACAATCATAACCCAACGGCACGACCAACGTCTCCTCGTGCACGGTCGTATCTATCCCTCGTGGGCTCCCACGCTTCCCTCCCCAAACCAGAAGGATTGAATGATGTTGGACCCAAGCCTGCTAATGGAACGGACCTCTTGGCCCACCCAACGAGTAGTGAACTTGGTGGCAATGGCAGACTACGCGAAGTTGAAAGGGAACCGCCAGAATGCTGCTATGGAATGGTTCGTATGGAAATAAATTGCCCTTCCAGCCATATCCATATCATACCTGATTGTTTGCGCAGTTGTGTGACATCTCCACGAACATTGGCTCCCAAGTTAGCCCGAATTCGAATAATATACCTGTCGACTTTCATAGCCCCGAATATCTTTCTTCGAAGCTCGACGGCGGTTTGGTTACCTTTCGTATCGCATGCCCCAAAGCGGCACGAATACTGTGCGAGCTGGAAAACGTGGTTGAATTCACGACGCAGCTGTACTGCCATTCAAAACTCGAAGTATCTCCGGATGGAGGTGTTCGTCAGAATGGTAGACGCCGCGGAAAGCCACTGCGGTCGTGGTTCCTGAACATAATCATTTTCGGCAGAGGCGGTCTTGAGGACAAGGTGGGAGGATACTTATCAAATAAAAAGATGTATCTTCAAGACCCACGGGGATGTGAGCGTTGCGTCCTATACCGGAACCCACATATCATCCAACCAGATTCAGGAGAGACGGTGATGACGAGTTCATTTGATTCGATACTTGGGAATTTACAAATCGAGCGAGTGGAGGCCGGACCTGATTTGCTTGCACATTTGATGGAGGGTGGTAGCCCGTTGCCAGAGACTCAAGCACCTGATATCGTGAAAACCGATTTATTTGGGTAGATCTCTCTCATAGGCAGGTGTACATGTAGCTGATATATAGTACAGGCATCAAAAGCAGGCGTTGACGTTTATGTTGCGTCGGGAGAAGGGCTGGGGGCTGGAAGACGGTGCTAGTGACATTTGGAGTCAACAAACAGATTCTTTGGGGCGGTTCAGGTAGTCGCCAAGTTTTCCCATCTAAGATCATTTAATAACACGAGGAGATAGTTACATCAATAACATCAGTGGATACAGCACAAACGAGGCTCCACCAGACTTTCGGGGTGGTCTGCTAGCGGATGACATGGGCTTAGGCAAGACCCTCAGCATGATATGTCTCATTGCAGCCAACCGGGCGAGCCTACCAGCTACCCTCAACTCTGTGACATCTGATTTTGTGAAGACTACTTTGCTCATTGTACCTCCGGCATGTACGTATGAAAATGGCGGCCACCGCTCTCTTAACTGACGGGAATAGTAATACAAGCCTGGGAAAAACAATTTTGTTTGTGAGTCTCCTACTGTTTTGCAGACGGTATTAACTCGTACTTGCTTGACCATGGTATTGAATCACTTCTAGGCACCTCCGACCTGGAAAGATAAAATGCCACGTTTATCATGGCCAAAATAGGAAGAATACGGAGTCGCTGGAGCAATACGATGTTGTTATTACAACATACCACACTGTCTCTGCCATTTGGAGAAAATTCGGCGACCAACCGAACAAAGAGAAGTCTATATTTTCGTTGATCTGGCATCGGGTGATTCTGGATGAAGGTGAAGCAGCTTCCCGGATCTGATCAAGCATTACTAACCTGCGCAGCTCATACAATCCAGAACCCACAAAGCCAACTCGCCCAAGCGTGTTGCACTCTCCGTTCAACGAGGCGATGGGCGATCACCGGAACCCCTATCCAAAACAAGCTCGCAGACTTCGCCAGCATTGTAAGATTCTTACAAGTTCACCCTTACTCCGACCCGAAAAGTTTCGAAGAAGAGATCTTCAGACCATGGCAGAATCGTCAAAGTCCCGATGCCCAGGGATTTCTGAGACTCAAAACGCTCGTTAGGGCTATTACTATCAGCCGTACCAAAGCCGTTGTCCAGCTTCCATCTCGAATTGACGAGATTCATCACCTCGACTTTTCCCCTGCTGAACGAGAAAAATATGATGCCGCAAAGACCCAATCAAGAGTGCTTCTTGAGGAAGCCATCTCTTCCGGAAACCAAGGTGGCAAAACTTTCAATGCACTCTGGCTGCTTAACATTCTCCGTTTAATTTGCAACCATGGTCTTCTGGCCCAGTCTTCTGTGGAAAGCAAGATTCCTCAAGCTCCGCGTTCGCTGGGAGGATGGTCTCCGGGAGAGGCATCTGACTCGTTTTATGGCAATATTCTGGGCCGTTCTGCCAATTGCTTGAACTGCGGTGCAAACTTGCTCGAGGATCTTCTCGAAGGCCCAGTGAAGGCTGATTTTGAGTTGCAGCGCCAAACACGACCTTGCGACCAAATGATATGCGAGAGATGCGTGTCTCAAATCGAAGACGACAGAGCAGGCCATCCACGTTGGGACGCGTCGGTCGAGAGCTGCGAAACCTCAACCCCTGCAACGCCGTCCGGGGACTGTGATCTGGCATTTACCATCAAAAATATGTCTACGAAGATCAATGCTCTTGTAGCGGATCTTTGTAAACACAACACAACAGAGAAAAGGTTAGTATCGACTTACATATTGCAGTACTCGAGGAAATGGCTAATTTTGGACAGTGTGGTGTTTTCATACTGGACGAATACGCTTAATCATGTCCAGCTGATGTTGAACGACAGGGGGATCCTGTTTTCAAGGATTGATGGGAAGACTTCTCTTCCTAAAAGAAATGAGGCTCTACGTGCATTTCAGAGTGGTGATTCCGTGCGTGTCATTCTTGTTTCCATCACTTGCGGAGGGGCTGGGTGAGTTGTTTTCCTGAAAAGCATTTGAGTCAATCACTGATTGAAGCTTAGTCTCGATCTGACAGCTGGTTCGCGGGTCTATCTCATCGAACCACACTGGAACCCTATGATTGAAGAGCAAGCTCTCTGTCGAGTACACCGAGTTGGCCAAACACGTGATATCACCACGATTCGATACTTGATGCGAGACTCATTCGAAGAGGTAAAACCTGACCAACTCGCCCCTGAAATACTCGTCCCCCAGCTACGTAACACCAGTTAGCTCTGAGCCTTTAAGGTACTGACTATATATAGCAAATTGTGGATATCCAAAAGCGGAAAAAGATGCTGGCACAAGTGACCTTCGCCGAAGGTCCTTTATCAGACGCTGCCATAAGTTTAGGGACATTGCAGGTATGCTTCAAACCTAATCGCCGTTCAAAGACAAGTCTAAAATTCCTCCAGTACTTGAAATCTGTCCTCGAATGAGGTGTCTGCCATCAAGTTTTGTTGCGGTCACAAGAGGGTGGTTGCGGAGGAAAGTGCAGCAGCCTATTAGATAGGGAAGTGCCGGCGTTGGGCCGTGAGCATCAGACCACTTTTGCTTGACCTTAAAGCGCGACATGCAACACAAAGACTTCAAGAATGCTCTTATCTATAAACAGACTGGCCAATTGCTGTTTCTGGATAGAGAAGTCTAAATTTTGACTGCGCTCAAAGTATGGTAAATGCTTCTCAAATCTGAAGTTCCAAAAGAAAGCTGTAATCCGCAGCTTGATTTGGGCATTCCAAATGAAGGCCTCCTAAGACATTTCCGATCGTTCGTTATATGTTATCATGTTCGGGTCGTCTGGGTAGTCAATAACTGGGTTCTTCTTGACAGGCATGGTAAGAGATTTGAAGAGGGACTAAATGCAATCAAAATGGCACTGAAATCAACAAAAGTCATTAATTGGTTGTGTTGCAATTAATCGGAAGTGATGATTTTTTGGTTGGGCGGGAAGTGGGTTTGGGCGGTTGGTGGGTGAACCCTTCTATATACGATGCCACCCGTTACAAACCAATGTTCAACCCGCGGCGCGAAGAGAACTGCTTTTCCGTCACGCCCGAACGAAAATACTACAAAGTCGGTTAGGCTTTGATCAAACGCAGCCTGCGACCAACAGAATGGCAAACCAACCCGTTCACAGGCACGTTAATTATACCTCGTTTCGGAAAACAAAGACTCTATAATGAGGCAGCGTCAATGGCGTTTATCGCTAGGCATATGAGTATTCCAATCCCTGAGCTATATTGTTGCTTCGAAGATGATGAAGCCGTCTATCTGGTTATAGAGTATATTGAGGGGGTAAGCATGAATGCGCTTGCAGAGGAGAAACAGAAGGTTATCCAAAAGGAACTAGAGGTTTATTTGGAGGTGTTGAAGAAGCTAAAGTCTAAGTTTTAGGGTGGGCCTTCGGGGATTATATATTGCCTGTGTTAATGACAAGCTCCCTTGGCTTTTATTAATATAACTAGGTCGTACCACCAATCGCATTATGGTCAAAAGTGGCCTTCTAGAGTAGAAGATAAAGCCTTTTGAGACTGAGGAGCTAGTATTTAATCATGACGACTTGCCGACGTATAACCTGGTCGTTGATCCCGTGATACTAAAGGTGAAGGCTATAATTGATTGGGAGTATGCTGGTTTCTATCAGCGCAGTTTGAAGGGAAGTTCTTCAAGAGGGTAAAAGCTTCGGTTCCGTTGCAAAGGGAGGAGAATGACGAGGATAGATTACTTGATATCATGATTGAGAATGGGCTGAGATGAGCTGAGATGAGATGAGAATAGAATCTAGCGGATAGGATCATAGAAATAGGACGCTTTGTCTCCAGTAACCAAACATAGAGCAAGTGTTGAAACATGGGCTATGAACAGAACAAGTCACTTCCTTTTCTTCCCGTTACACTATGCACCCACTTCCCCTTCCAACAGGAAAGAGAAAAACAGGAAAGAGAAAAACCCTTCAGCCTTAGAGAAGGAGTTCCTGGAGAAAAAGGGAAAAAGGGAAATAGAGAAAAAAAATAAAAAAACATACAACAGCAGGTATTCGCTGGTGGTCACCCACCCAACTACTAATCTGCCGATCTGAAGCTTGTGTATGGCAGAGCGGACGGGATGCCCAATGTTCTTCAGTCTATGGTCGTATGTACAATGCAAATGTTTAATTAGATACATATTACACGACTCTTAGTGCCTTTCCTCGTTGTCGCTTTCCAGCAACATGGGCCGCTCCAATCGCAGAGCCGAGAAGCTTTCTAGGCTAAAGGTTCTTTGGGCCCCACCCCACTACTTCGGAAGCAGTTCTGTGGCCTTGGATCTCGGTTAAAATTGGCGTCAAAATCTCTGGGGTTTGATATGCAACAGCGACTTCCTTGAAGGAACGAAAGGACCGAGGAACTTCTACAGAGGGAAAGTGATTTTCCTTGACACATTACCATCTGATGTGTCCCAACGGATATCAATGGCTGGGGATGGCAACAGGTTTTCTTCGTGCTGGTAAAATCTCCGTATCGAGTTGTGCCCCCATATCTATTGATGCTGATGTATACACCGCAGCTGAAGCTGGCGGTTGCTTCGAAATCTGACATGGCGTTGGTGAGATTATTGATGAGTCGCTCCCTGCCGATGCGGCGTGGGGACGGAAGACTGGACATCGCAGATCAAAGAACCCCTTGGGTTCCGATCGTTTGAAGGTGACGGTCGTATCCTTGCGTGTCTGCTGGCTTCGCGGCTGATCGGTGTACCAACCCCTAGAGAACGAAGGGATATCGAAGACTAATCGCGAACGTACTATTAGCAAACAGTGTATCAAAAAATAATCAAAGTCAAATTAATTATAATTAATTATGATTTGATTAGCTCCATTTTAACTTGATTTGATTTGGGAATATCCGTTCCGCTGCCGCCAGGAAGGGCTTTCGTAAGCAAATTTCCCCCTTGGTTAATCTGAAATAATTTGCCATGAAAAATAATAAAACTTAATTCCTTTCTAGGATATCTAATAGTTGGATTTAACGTCGCGACTATTACGGAGGTACAGCCCATCAGTATTCACATAGCAACCGAATCGACAGGGGTCTATGAAAATTTAAACCCTCATAACTCTTTCAAATCGTGACATAAAAGCGCCTAGTTAACTCGATTATTATCTCATATACGTATGCTATTATGCTATTATGCTATTTTATTTTTCTGTTTTTTATAGCATTTCGTAGTTGCGTTGTAAGGGTTTGAAGTTCAGACCCTTGCTAACACTATATGAATACTTATGGGTTGTACCTCCGTAATCCTATCGATTCTGGAAATCGATTCTAAGCGAGAGTCGCGAACCCCCCTATCTAACCCTTTTAATTACGATTCTTATTATACTTATTACCTTTAATTGAAAAAGCAAGTACAGCGTTATAATTAGGAATATCGCTTTAATAGTTTTACATCCTTTTATAATTTTTTTAAGGACTTTAAAAAAGTTGACTTTCTTGGTGTTCCTTACCCCTCGCTAGCTATCCGACCCCTCTTGCAAAGGAAAGTACCTCTCCATATAAATTTACTATGTAAGTTACTTAGCAAATTTCTCGCTTAGAATCGATACCGGATCAATACGGATCGATCCTACTAATACTGAGTAATACTAGGGGGTATTGATACCAGTATTGATACCTCAGGTATCATTGCCAAGCCTGTCCTGGCAGCAGCGGAACGGATATTCCCAAATCAAATCAAGTTAAAATGAAGCTAATCAAATCAAATCAAATCAAATCATTCAATACACTGTTAGCAAAGGTAAAGGGGGTGGACACATCGGAGCGAACTCCTGTACGTGCAGCTATATGTCGGAGATGGGTGTTGCTATAGTGAAAGCACATGTCCACCCTGTCTACTAAACTTTTAGGTGTAAAAGTCTCTATGGCAACAGCACAGCGACATATGATCACCTTACAGGAGTTCGCTCCGATGTGTCCACCCCCTTTACCATACAAGATTATGACGCGACTTACCAGGTGGGTCTGGGTGATCTGGGTGATCCACTTGATCTTGGTGGATGATCCAGATTGATCTTGTTGGATGATCTGTTGGCCTGGGTGATCAAGGTGGTCCAGGTCGGCCTCAGCGGTCTTGGGTAGGTCGTCTTGTCATGAAGATGGTAATGGCATAGCTTTAGTAAACTGCTCCACAGTAATTACGGCACGTCGGCAGATTATTCGGCCAGAATAGAAGGAGAGAATTGGGATGAAGAATTAAATGTCGTTTTACTTACTCCTCCCCCCCTAAATAAATGTAAAAGCGGGCCCAGAGTGGATACTGTGGTTGCCATTTAGCAAATAGTACTAGTTACTTCTAAGCCGTTGCCATGGGTTAACAAGCCCTAGCAAGGTAAATAAAGCCCCGTCTTCTCGAAAGACCTCACGATGGACTAGTGCTAGGTGGCTGACCAGGGTTTCAACCATTCAGAGCACTGATATCAGGGATTGGCACCACTGTTACATTTAGGGGGGGGGGAGAGCACGAGGCAAACCTTTTCGAGCGTTCAGGGTCGTTCGCGACGAGCCGAGAGGGGGGGCGTTCAGCTATCTTTGCCCCGTTAGCCGAAGACCCTAGAGCTTAGTTCAAAGTATTTGGACCTGGTCGCGTTGCGATGCGCAACTTTTAAAAGTGTGAGATTTTGGGTATTCCTAACCCCACTAAAAATGGTCGATTTTCAAAACTGTGCCCTTTCGCACTCCCCCACCCCCTAATTAAATGTAACAGTCGGCCCTCTTGGCCGGGGTGTTTCGTTTGGTAGAACGTCTGTGCTCTGTGGACCCACTGTTACAGATAAATAAGAGAGGGCGGCAAGGTAGCGCTACAACGAGGACGGGCGGCATAGTTAATCAAATTAATATGTGAATATGGAGGTAGAATATGATTAACGAGTATATTTCGTCAATCGATTAGATTAATAGTAATTAATGTAATCTCCTCTATTCATTTGATACACTGTTTCCGATTCCGCTGTTTACGACTTCCTGATTTCCTATAAATACAGGCCTCTCTCTCTAGAAGACACTCCTCTCGTTAGTCGAAAGGCAATCGGAAAAGACACCTCGTTCCTATTGATATATCTCTACATACTCCCCACACCCCGCTTATTACTTTCGCTATTTAAGACGCAATGTTCAAATCGGCAGCCTTTCCTGTTATTCTCCTCTCATTCACGCTATTCTCCGCGGCTTCCTCAGCCGACTGCCGCCCTCAAACGGTGCATGTTAAATGCATCCAAGGCGGTTGCGACCAGTCAAAATTAACGTGCAACCCTGGCCAGTCTTACGGGGAGGACCCTATAATCAATAATATGTGTCAGGAGTCGAACTCCTGCATCCTTCAAGTATGTTATCTACTATATATAAACCAATAACCAAGCTGCCACTAACAACAGTTTTAGTTTGAATGCTGTACCAAATAGTGTGACAACCCTGACAATATAACGGGTTATCGTTAACCCTTGACGGAAAAGAACGATATTGCGGGAAGTTGCTAGGACGGGAGTTTAGGTTACGTAATGGATCAGGGCTATATATACCCCTTCGTTTTCCTGTAACTTAGACTCCTGTTCCTTAGTTTAGTAATTTTTGCATCTTTCATCAGTTCACCTCTTCCTCCATGCCAAATCCGAACATACTTCGTACGGCCCCACAATGCGCCAAAACCACAACCCCTAAGAAATAGAAACACAGGTCCAATACCCCTCCCAAGCTGTCGGGTTTTTCTTATCCACATACTGATTCCGAGCCAGAAACTCATCCATCGTAATATTATTCGAAGCCACAATATTCTCCACCTTGTATTTGCTCCCGCTGCCCACGAGTTCATACTGCATGCAATTGCTTACGATGCTCCTGTACCTTATCAACATTACCCCTTCAAAAATAAACTTACAACTGGAGAGAGTGTATCACTTACGGCATCATAGGAACCGGCACCTTCCCCGCACCCTCCACGGTCCCCGGCGCCTCCTGCACAGGCCGCACGAAGGCATACCACGGCGTATTGATGCAAACCGGCACATAAGCCCTCAACCCGAGACACGTCTGTCCCACATCAGGGTTCCGGTAATAGAACTGGGTGGGTCTGGAGATGTTAGATGTTGTGGCGATGGAGGTACATGAGTTGCCGGACTGCACCAGGTAGGTAGCGCTGCAGTCCGAGGGCGTGTGGTAGCAGACTGTTCCGGCAGCGACAGAGGAGTAGGTTGTGCAACTATCTCGAGGTATGAGGAAAGGTGTTGCTTTTACACCGGGGGAGAGGGCTGCAAGAGCTATGAGAGAGAGGAGAAATGCATTCTGGCTTGACTAGACTTGGCTTGATGATTTGGTTTAACAAGTGAGAGCGATCTTAGAACGAATGTGAAATACTGCTTCTGAATGAGAACCGGAAATCGAAAAGAAGAAAATATTGCTCTTATATAATCCTTTTTTTTTTTTGATCGGCAAGACGATGTACAAGACCGTCGATGGGGCGGCTGCCTGCATGTCGCCCCTTCACCCCGGTAATAAACTCCTCAACGGAATCCGCAATCAGGCCAAATGCTGTCGTTACTGTGGCACAGCGGTGCGGTAGTCTTTAAATTCATTAAGATCCGATGAGAGTACTTGGTGGTGCTCCTGATAATCCCAATCTCGTGTTTGCGGATTATAACTAGGTCGGCAGCCTTGTGTGAAGTACGCAAAGGGGGTTGATTCAGGAGTGCTCTTACGCTCCTAGTGTCTCAAAGGATTGGTGTTGTTAATCAAATTAATTGATTAATGTGATTAGATTATAAGTAATGCAGTTTTTTCTCAATAGATTAGATTAATTAATCTTGATTAATTGAATTAATATACTTGATTAGTCACGGGATTTTCTTCTTCCTAACTTTTACTTATTAATTATTAATACACATTTAGTTGAGTAGAGTAGGGAGTTGCATTGCAGTTTAAAGAGTGAAATTAAATCTAGCTAGAAAAGAGCTCAAGTGAGGGTGGAAGCTCTGGACTATATATTAAGAGCGGCAGGTGCCCGGGCCCACGACCAAGACTAAAAAATCGAGGAGGTTTCGCTTAGCTTGGCAAGCGGCCGCAGCCCTAATCGGTAAAAACCCACTCCCTATACGGCTAGAGTAGACCTTATTATGGCCTACCCCGACTTCACGCCCTTCGACGTCATGTGCGCTGTCACGTCTTAAGTCACGCGCAATATCAATCTAATTAGATTACGGTCAAAATATGATCAATGGCGAAATTCTTTGATTAGACTAGATTAATAGGCATTTACCTAGTCTAATCTAATCATTTGACACACTATACGCTCCGCAAGCAGGGGGAAATATAGAGTTTTCAGGGTGCTTTACCTCCCGATTCTATATTTTGATCGCCACCTTAGGAGATGGGTTGAAGATTTGGCGTTTAAGTGTGTAATGACCGCAAACATGAAGGTGGAATGAGGGCCACTTCCTAGATAATGTCCAATGTCCCAAGATTGAGTCAAAATGAACTCTCGAGACTCAACATCCTTCCGGGAGAGTTGACGGAAGAAAGCAGAGAATCAGGAAATCGCTTCCCTCGCAGTTGATCAATGGGACTTTCTGTAAAGTGAACCCTCATTTGAATGCCAACAAATTCGTGCTCTGTGGTCTGTCGTTTCGTCATGCTGACTGCGATCTAAATATCGTCCCCCATCCGTTTTCTTTCCCTCACTCGCAGCTCAAGTCTTCCATCCCGTGCCATAATCCATTGACCTCGTGCCTTCTCTGCTAACCTCCACCTGACAACTCATATCCAGAACTCGTCACCAGTCCAATTGCAAACACCACCTACAAAGCCGTGACAACCTGCCCACCCTCCCAGCTCTCCCCCCCCTCAAGTTTAACCCAACCCTTCACCGCGCCTGCTTCCACACAAACCATCTCCTTATACCCGTCCTTTGGCTCAAAGTCCGCCGTGGCCTTCGCGCCAGCCTCCCACGGATTCCACACGACAATCTCATTCAAATTATCCCTCACAATGCTAAACGTCTCCTTGCCTCCTTCCTTAATCACAACAGGAACTTCGGGACCACCCGCAGGACTGTAGACACGGTCTGTTTGTGCGGCGATCTTGAGAGAAGCGGAGGGGGAGGTGGCGGTTGATGGGATAGGCGTCGTAAGTTTGTCGAGGTACTGGGAGGATTCGAGGCCTGTAATTTCGACTTTTGCGATATCCTGCAGCCAAATTCCCAATTAGTGGGTTCCCAAATTAACAGCAGGAGGATGATATAACTGACCGCAACGCGAAAATAAGTATGCATCAGCGTCTGAAACTCCCACGCCTCGTCTCCCTCATTCCTCACCACCATACTCGTGCTTAGAATGCCACGACCCAGCGTAACGCTATAGATCAAGCCGAACTCAAACGGCCATGCCTTTCTACTCCCTTCACTCAGATTGCTGGGAGACAGCCCGAAATCCAACTTCACGCTATCATCACCACTGCCGGAAATGGAGGAGGATTCGGAGGTCGACTTGCCAAGGAACTCCCAGCGAGAGGTGCGTGCGAAACCGTGCTGGGGGAGCTTAGATGTCGCTGCGTGGTCGGGTGCTGTGCCAAACACCTATGCAGGGGGAAGATGTCAGCTTGTTTCCCCTATCCATTTCACTTCGCTCCCTAGAAGTTGCTCTTACAACCCCGCCTCAAACTTCAAATTCTGCAGGTGTTCTCTACGTACGGGAAACACCACTGGAACACCCCCTCTAACAGCCTTCGTCCCATCCGTCTTCGCTTTCCCACTAACCCACAGCTTCTCCCCGCCCTTCGCATCCTTCCAGCTGATGATCGTTGCTCCAAAGAGCAGCACCTCGATGCTCTCTCCTGTGGGTAGCACGGCAGAGACGCGGTTGTTGGAGTGCGAGATTGTAACTTGTGCTTGTGGGGCGAGGCCCGGTGTCGCGGAGAGCGCGGATGGTTTCTTTGGGCGGTCGACCATCTTGAGGTGAGGAACGAGCGGTGCAGCGCACGATTGCCAAGGAGTGGGTGTTGAAGCTGAGGGAGGGAGGTAGAGGAAGGAGAGGTCGAGTTCGTAGTTGGAAGGAAGGGAACGAGGGCCTCTTGTAGTCAAGAAGAATGTGAGATGTCCGTGAGCAGCTAGAGAAGGAGTAATGGAGGGAGGGAGAGGAGAGAAGAGAAGAGAAGAGAAGAAGAAAGGATGTGAATGCGGCGGGGTTGACGTTCCAGTGGGATGTTAGCGAAGATCAGGCCCTGCAGAACATGAAACGCGGGCGAGGTCTCTGGTGGGCGCCGTGGGCGAAAGGTGCTGACTAATGACAATGCCATCACGTGGGTTAAGTCCTTGTTTCTTCTGCCCCTTCTCGAGTCTTGATTTAAGTTGAACCCCGTGCATACAGTTCAAGTTCCTTGTTTGCGAGTATCACGTCTATAAATAATCTTCAAGTTGGGCTTTAATCCCCTCACACCAAAAACAGACATCGACATCAAGCTTCTTTTACGAATCCGACCAAACATCGCATGTAACACAATCAATATTTGGAGTCTTAGTTACAATGTTCTGTCTCCTCGATGATACTCCGCCCATGCCCATGCAGCCGTCCATTTTCACTGTCCATCAACCGCCCAAAATATCTAGAAGCAAAGCAAAACTCCAATCGCGATGCAATTTATAATCACATGTTCATCTCACTGACCCCCCTCTGTCTTCCTCGCCGTTCCGCACCGTACAACTGCTCCTTTGCATCGTAGAACAAATCTTCAATTTCGCGAGTCCCCTCCCTGCTTAAAGCTGCAGATTTCAAGTCATCAATTAGGTTTCCAAGCTTGGTTTTGATGATGCTCTCGAGGGTTAAGAGTTCAGGCTCAGCTTCGTTGAGCACATCTGTAGAAGCTTCTTCCTCGGCTGCACCTCCAATTTCGACAACCTCGGAAGTAGTTGCAGGGATAATCTGCGCAGAAGGATCGTTCTCCGGTTTGGATGTCTCTGGGGCTGGGCTGGATTCGGCCTTGAAAGTGCTCTCATTGATGGTTGTCTCCTCAAATCTCTCAAGGACTTGACTAGCCGCTTGAACTTCGCTGACCATTGGCGAATCTTCGGCTTCGTCGATCGATTCGTCTGCAGTTCCCGCATCCTCGACGAGCTCATCGACCGTTGCTGCCATGTTGATATCTTCCTCTGGGGCAGATACGTCCTCTGTGGTGGACGATATCTCGCGGCTCGCATCCAGTAGTGCCTCAGTATCATCCGCTCCCTCTTCAATCGCTGTCGTCTTGCCACTCGAGGTGGGTACATTCCTTGTACAGTCTTCAACTTCCACATCGAGCATCGAGGCATCGAGATCCACCGAAGGACTCTGACTTCGTCCAGCCTCCGCATCTGCCTGATGCTGTGACGCTTGGGATGCTCTATTCGATCGTCCGTGCTGGCGTTTCTTCTTTGGGGATTTCTTCCTCGGGGAAGATCCTAAGCCACAAGTCAGCGCCTCATTAGATGGACAGGAGCGAACAGATTGCATACTCGCCACAGCCGCGTTGGGATCTTGACCTTGGGCGACCTCACTCGCACCCTCAGCGAGCCGGCGTTTCCTCTTCTTCTCCACTGCCTCCTCAACTTCCTGACTATCGGGTACCTCATCCATGTCCTCAGCGAGTAGCTTCCTCTTATTATTGGCGTAGGTGGTGAGTTTCTTGGGTGCGCCGCCGCGTTTGGCTGTTGGGCGACTGTCAAGTCTCTCCAGGCTCGAAGTATCCACGACAATGGTATCTTCCTGGTCAAATTCTTCTCCATCGATGATGATCTTCATGGAAATCTCATTGGGTCTCGCTGCTGGCGTTTCCGGTATCCGGGATGGATAAGAAGAAGGCCCCTGAACCTCAGATGTAAAACTTGGTTCTTTGTCCTCAGATTGAGTTGTAGATCGGTTTCTCAGCGACAGCTTGCGTGGAGATGGGGCTGCGGGCGAAGATGTTTGCTTAGCGGGAGAAGTACGCTTCCGTTGGGCTTGGTTCTTTTCCTCAGCAAACGAGACTTGCCGTCCAACGTGACCTGACCCTTCATCGTATTCAGCCACCAGTCGAAGCACACTAGAATCGTCCGCATCGCCGAGAGGCGAAGATGACTTGTTCAGGCGTATTCTAGAAATGTTTAATCGAGGAGAAGAAAATGCATCCTCAAATACATCTCCATTGGTAGACATCTTGTCAGAAGATGCAGGACTTGACCGCGCATCAACAAATTGTGGTGTCTTAGGAGTTTGTTGATTTGGTGGGGACTCTGTTTTGTTTCGGGGTGGCGTGCCGGGTAGTTGAGGGTTTGTGACGGGATCCAATGCAGGTTCTACTCTTTCTTCGGCTATCCTCTGCAGGTACTCAGCCTCGGTAGCCTGCAGCTGAGCGGAGGGGTCAACTGGTGATGAGCCACGTTCCACTGGCGTGCTTTCAACAGTTGACATTGTCCGGGTACTGATTTCGGCAGCATAGGCATCAACCTGCGCCGAAGGGCTGAGCGACATTGTGGTGTTGTTGTCTGGTTCTGGTGTCACTTCTGCAGGCGAAGAAGAGATGGCCTCAGAATACTCGACACTCTTGTGCTGAACAGGTTCTGGTGGTGACGATGGGGGATCTGGAACCTGTACTTCCCCGCGCAAAGATCTCGTAGGAGTTGGAGAAGAAGGAACTTGGTTATCATCATCGCTGGGAAGAACAAGTGTAGGTGTGGTTTGCCGCAAGACATTTGGCGAGAGCATGGCACGTATCTTGGACGACGAACGGCGCACAGGCAATTCTGGATCCTCCACAGACCTCTCAACCGACTTAGCTTTCGGCAAGGGATTGGACCGCAGGTCCGGAAACATCGCCGCCTCAGTTTGTTGGCGTTCCTTGACCTCCTTCTGCTTGTCAGTCAACAGCTGCGAGTCCACGATCCTGTCAGCCATGGGGGAGGACTCGATCGCCTCAAATTGCACCTGGGAATCATCATGCCTTAGCCTTGGTGTAATTTCTCGTTTCCGTGACTTCCTGTTCGATGTCTCTGGTGTAGCTTCTCGCGATCGTTTCCGTGATTGTGTCCCCCCAACCTGGATGATGACCTGAGGCGTAGATTGACGAATTCTCCGCATCACTGAAGGTTGCAGATGAGGCTCGAGATACTGCTTAAATGCTGACCCCAAACTCGACACCCCGGAATAGTTGCTCGATTCGTCTTGGCTGCCAGTAAAATCTGTTGGCTGGCGCTGATCAACGAGGAGCTCACTTTCCACACTTTCGTGAAGCGATGGCAGTTGAATGTCGGTGAAGGGGCGAAGTCTGAGGAGCGCAGCTTTGACCAGCTCAGGGTATTCCAGCCCACCTCTGCAGTCACCAAATACGGAATTCCATAATTGGATACTTTTGTTAACGATGTATTTGTGCTTGCTCTCGAGCCCAGAACAAATCAACGGTTCCAGTTCGCCCAACACCTTCGTATGGCTGTACAGCGTCGGCAATTTTGATAGGATTTTGATTACTGTTGCCCAAAGAGTGATTACCTGGGGATGTCAGTTATAATACAGGGGCAGATCTCTGGTGGCTTACTGATTGCGACAGAGGAGTGTCGCCAATGACCTTGTGGCCGCCATCAACAATCCAGCACGAGATACCCTTTTGAATTTTGATAAGAACGATCAAAGATAGTTGGGTTGGACAGCGATCTAAGAGGGTTGTGACTGAGGATATCATGACTGCATAATCATGGTGATTTTGCTTGGAGAGTGAATCGTAACCTGCAACCAGACAATTTTGGATGTACTCGTACAAATGAACATAAGGATCAAAACTTGAACCCTTGGAACCTGCGTTATCAGTGCCCCATAGCCGTCGTCTTGCGGCATCGAGAGCTTGTCGGTCCCTAGGATAAGGGACTACCTGTCCAACTAACGAATGCAAATAAGCCAGCCCTGTCATGGCCGCGACAGTAGTGGTTGGGGTTGGAAGAAAGGACTTCGCCAGAGGCTCGATCACTGCAATGGCTCTGCCCGCATCGCCCGCATCGAGCGTGGCTGATGTAGCCAAAGCTCCAAGTAGAGCATTCCAGCGGGATAATGGTTGATTGGGAGAGATACCGATGCCAACCTCAAGGATGCTAACTACTTCACGGTATTCCACACCGAGCGGCTGCTCACTGCCTCGATTCACATCCTTTTCGTCCCTTGTATCCACAGCGATGGCTGCAAATTCCGCTAGGATTTGCCAGACCAGTCTGCAAGGCACCGTGCCTTCGGCAGGAAGTAATGGAAGCAAGTCCCGTACTAGGTCTAACCGGGATTTCCTTGATGTGCGGGATTCGAAGAAAGGATGAAGAATGTTGCGGATCATTTGCGAAAACCGGAGGTCGTATTCGAGATTGGGTGAGAGCTTTACCAGAAGCAGAATGAGGTGTTGAATTGGGGGTTTGGTGATTCCTCGAGGCTTCTTTGGGTGTTGAGACGGTGTCACGATAGCGATGAAGGTATCCTGAGTGATGCAAAGAAGCTTCTCGGTGAACGCAAGCAGGCCAAGTCCGCTGATAGCAGTTGAGACAAGCCTCTCAAAACTTCGCAAGAAGGCAGATGTGCTCTGCGGTAGAGCTGGTTCCTTGCATGGGTTAAGGGATCCTACATTCTTCGGCCCAAGGTTCCAAATCTTATGCAACAAGCTGAACAGTGAGGCAACACATCCCATTGTGTCAATCGAGACCTTCACTTCCTGTCTCATTGGGGACGCAACGGAGGCGACGTAAGCTTCCCAAAGTCGCGCCACATCCGAGTCTTCGCCAAGATCCCAATACAGCTTCTCGAGGAGTGGTCCAAGAACAGGGAAGACGCGAGAGTAGCTTTTGCGCAACCACTTTGAATCTAGAGCAGGAAGTGCTTTGGGTTCGACATTGTTTTGTTGGAAATTCTCCATGGCGCGTGTTTCGGTCCATGGCGGAATTGTTGTTGGGTTAAAGAGACCATGAAGAATGTTGCATGCATCCGTTGCATCTTTTGCTACCAGATCTGGATCACTTCGCATCCCAGCGACCAAGCATTGGCCGACAATGGAAACAACATACTCGTCCCAATACATGTCAAGCTGGGCTGGTGGCGAATTTGGCCTTAAGGCGTAGTATAGTAAATTGCAAACGCTGCTTATCGTGGCCTTTCGGCTGCTTCGTTTGAGCTGCGCAATCAAAGGTCTCGAGAGGATGCCTCTCACATTCGGCGGCGTCTTATCACTTGGCAGAATCGCATAAATGAGTCGATTCCAAGCATAATTCGCTTCCATTTTCGTAGCCGAATCGCTGGAGTTGAAGCAATGCTGCAACACACCGAGGAAAAGATTCAGGTACGCCCATTGCTCCAATAGTTGTGGCTTGTGTCGAAGGAACAAGACGAGCACGCTGAAGATTTGAGGCACCGTTGAGCTGTTGTCCTCTTTGTTTTTAACCACATCCCGTAATTTACTGGCGTAGAAATCCGCAAATTTCGGCCCATCCTTTTCGTCCGTGGTCTCGCCCTCAAAAAGATTTGATACCGCCCGGGAAGCGTTTCTCTCTCTTCCGAGCACAAAGGAAGACTCGAGACCAAATGTGATTGCTGAGGTGCGTATTTCTCGGATACTGCTCATCATATCCGTGAATAAGTCAGGGACCCAAGTCGTATTGGAAAGCATGTGGGGTTTCGATTGTCGCAGAAGGGTGCGATAGATCTCCAGTCGTCCCATGATAATGCTCTTGCCCTTTACATGGCTCTCAATCTGGTGCAATGCGAAGATCAGACGTCCGGTTCGTTCCTGGTTCATGATTTTTGGGGAGAAATTTTGCTGCGCCAATACAAACATGAGGTGCTTCAAAATATCCTTCGAAGCAGTGCCATCCTCCAATACCTTGATGGCGTGATCAACGATGTGCATTGGGAATTCAGTTGGGAAGGTTTCGGCAACGGCTGGCTTCTGTAGAAAGCTAGACAACAGGACCAGAGCTTTGGTGACGAGGGTCGAATCCGTGTTCCCATTCTCGAGCTTCTCCGACAAATCCCTCCAGATGAATTGACATAGCAATGGCATCTTCTCCTTCAACGCTTTCATGTCGGGAATATTGTCTGAAGCCTTCAAGGAGCCCGACAACATCAGGTATGCATCTTGCTTCGAGCTCCTACCTTTTCCGGCCAGCTGCCGTACGATCGATTCGAGCATAGTGGCAAACGTTGCGTGGTGGTGGGGTGGAAGAAGCTTCGTGCTACCCCCTACACTGCTGTAGTCCTCTTCGTGAGATCCATTGGAGGGCTTGAGGATTGATTTCGAGGGCTTTCGTTCTGCAGAAGGAGGGAGACGTTGCACAGCGTGCGTAATCTGCCCTTTGCCATCAAAGGAGACTTCGGGAGGCTCGTTGTACTCGGTCCAGTTTGCAAAGCCAACCTTCTTCCGGGAGTAGACACCAGCGGGCTGGCTCGGGGACTCAGCAGATGATTCGGGGGTGAAGTTCGAGTTTGTTGAGGAGCGCCGGGAGGAGGATTCCTTCTGGGAAAATCGTCCGATCAAATTGGACGACTTTGTCTCCCCGTGATTCGACTCGCGTGGTGGCGTGGGGGGCCTTGCAGCTGGTAGCAGAGGAGGTAGGGTCGAGACTGGCGCCGGCTCTACCATGGCTGCGAGCTCTGGGGCGTTGCGCAGGTCGTGCCAGCTGCATCGAGACTCATTTCATGCCTCCTATTCTTCCATCCCCAGCAGTGTGTCCAGTCGTCGATGTCGGAGCGTCGAGAGAGGAGTTGTGGTGTTGTCGTCGCGGTTGCAGAGGCCGAAAGCGCGAATGTCGTTGGACCACGATCGCGGCGATTCGAAGCGCGTTGCACCGCGTTGCCGAAAATGGAAACCACTTTAAAGCTGTGCACGTGACCATCAGGCAACCTCGCCTCCAAACACTCAAAGGCATTGTCCTTCTCCGCCTTCACTTCACTACAGCTCACCTCGCCTCACCTCACTTCGCTTCCACTGCCCCATGACTTCGAACTAAATCCTCGTCCACATCCTTCACCTGTATATGGTTTTGCTCGTGCCAGATCACTTGCGTGAACACATTCGGCCGACTCCCGTTTTCCTGACTACCTCTCCCCTCCATTGACATCACGCTCTCACCCCATGGACTGCGCCTCGTCGACCTCATACCCTCTTGTGGGACTCCAACATACAATGCAGATCCTCTATCCGATTACTTCACCCAGGGACCTTGCTCTGGGGCCGTCAAAAGGCGCAACTGTTCTATCACAACCCAAGCGCGACCCCGTGGTGTTGTTACCACTCGAAATCATCGACAACATTTGCGAGCATCTTGCTGCTCACTTGGATTTTGAAGCCCTTCAGTTCACCTTGTAGATCTAGCAAGTCAGTGCTGATAAAGCACCCCAATGTCAAAAACCTCAAATTCAATGGCGCAACGGCATCGAGCGACTGCAGACTATTTCAAGACACCTAAGGCTTAGGAAGCTCGTCCATTATACCTGTTATGACTCACGGCGGCTAGAACACAACCCCGAGTGGATACGTGTCTGCCCAACAACCAGTACCTGTCCGACAAACGGGTCACATTCCGTCTCGAGCTCGTCGAAACACTGACTGAACTTGAGGATTTTCACTCCACGTTCCTTACTTATGTAGCTGTGTAGCATCCACTATCGCAAGATGGGAATGAAAGCAAGATTCTCCATGATTGTGTCTCAGAGGTACCTAATCTGCTTGGCATACGGCACTCAATCTTTCGGAAAAGGGTACCATTGTGGCATTTGCAGAGGTTCGAAAGATCCGACGCACTCTCAGAAAGTATATTTGGAAATCTCGTTCATGAGCGCCCCTCCAAAGGTCAATGGCGCTTCTGGAGCCTCCTAGGTGCGGCCTGTTTGTCGGGATCTGCACCGGGACTCTGAGAACTGCGGGGATCGAGGTCCCACTTACATAAATGGACCACTGCCGCTGCGCCATAGGTCAAATTCTTTGGAGGTTTCACTGCTCTTCGCACTCTAGAGCTTGAGTTTTACGAAACCCGCATGATACGACATGTCACCTCTAGCCTCGCTCGCTTACTCCAAAATGTCCCTTCGCTGCAATCACTTCAACTTTATTTCACGGCGCTCACGATCTAATACGCGTACGTACAGGGCCACGTATCTCTCGATGACAGGGTTTTTTGAAGTTGTCACTGGAAACATCTTACCATAATGTCTTTGCACGGGTTTGCAACAATAGATGGAATCTTGGGAACTTTCATCTTCCGTCATACCAACACTCTCCACGCCCTTGATCTTGGTAATACTGCTCTGTCAAGCAGATGGCGAGGAAGAAGGGAACCCTGCTTCTTGGATTGACTTTTCACTCTTCCTAAACGAGTCTATGGACCTCAAAGGTGTGAATTTCCGTCAAAAGTTATCAAACGGGGTTTGCAGGGCGGGCTACTGTCCTAGCGCTGACTCGAAACATGATTATATCTGTTGTAGCAATCGACGGGTCAACGATTCGAATCCATTCGATTGCTTGAGATATCGCATTGAAGGGTTCCTAACACTGGATGAGCCCTGTCCTTTGAAGTCATTCTACGAAGACGCGGACTTGAGACTTTGTTTTGGCCTTCCTTGGATCTTTACGACGGATAGGCCGTGGGAATTCCGTGCGAGAGACCTACCAAACTTCAGTCAACATGAGTCGGTTCCTTCCAACGATTGATATTGTATTGGATGGCTCGAGTACCCCCCTTCTCCCGTTCAATTGTCACAACCACTTTGCAAATTGAATGAAACAAAATCCATCGCCTTCAAATTATTTCTCAGCGGTCAAAATTTCCTCAGAATTACATTAAGTAGCGATCCAAGCGCCCCAAACAACACTCGCAACTCCTCAAGCTCCATCCTTACTTGCACAGACCCGACGGAAACGAAGAAGCACATATATTGTTCTTCTTCACCACATTCTTTTTTCCTATCGTCTCAACGTGGATATCAATCTCGTTTCCCGTCACACTGTTCTTCTCAACCAGATTCCCCGATGCAACCGCCCCTGAAGCATCATCCATGATCGCGATACCATATCCCAGGCCAAGCTTGTCATGGATATTGTTACCCTTCACAACAGTATTGATCGCACCGGACATAACAATTCCATACACTTGCCCGCCGAAGATGGGGTTAGCCGAGCCATCTGGGGCTCTGCAGTTCGCCCCCGTGCCGGAGATATCGTTGTCATGGACCTTCGCACCATCAACGTTGGGGTCCACGTATGCGCCAATGCATGTGTCGTGGACGCGATTCTCATAGACGTTCGCTTCATTCGTCTGCAAACACAAGCCAACCCAGTAGTTGCTGATTTCATTGTGATGTACAGAAACCGGGTTCCTGTCGTCCATGCATATTCCAATGACGCGAATGAATGGGAATGGTAGGGGCGTCGAGTATACCGTGTTGTGCTTGAAGACAGTGTTCTTAGAGCCCACAGTCAGGGCGCCGTAGAAGTTGTTGTCGATGAGTGTGTTGCCCGACACAGTCGTATCCCGTGCCCCAACCACTGCCACCCCTAACCCAAAGCCGTTCACCGTGAAGCCTTTGACAGAGACTTCTTTGACAGTGCTCCCGACGGAGTTGAACTTTCGGTGTTCAAACTCCCACCTGGCGAGAGAAACGTCGGTACCGGTGATACAGATCCCAGCCTGGGTATCGACGGTTGGATCAACTTGGTTTGTAACGTCCGGGCCAGCGAGGCCGGAACAAGTGTTGTGGAAAGGAGTGCCAGGGACGCTCAGGGTTGCCTCGTGGCCGATGAGAGAGATGCCATTCTTGGAGATGGTCAGTTGCTCAGCATAGGTGCCCTTTTCGACAACGATTCTGTCTCCTGGATGAGCATCATCGATAGCTTGTTGGATGGTCTTCCCGCCTGTGGTCGTGACCGTGATGGTTTTGGCGGAAGCGAGACCAAGGAGGATGAGAGAGACTGCTGCAGTAGGGAGCCTCATGTTGCTACTCTATGTTGGTGAAGGATATGCAAAGAGTGAACACGACAGTGTTGGGAGATGATAATGTCAAAGGAATGGGATTGAAGGGAGGATTTATCAATAATTGCGCACACTTGCGCCAAGTGTTTGGGCGTCATTCTCGACCATTATGTGACTGTTAGTTAAATGTTCACAGACTATTCACCTCTGCCAGGTGGTGTTTAAACATCACCATAGAGATCAGCTGCCAAGAGGCTAAAGAGAAAAACTTTGGAACGAAAAGGAAGATATTCGAAGAGCACCAAAGAGATCAACTGCCAAGTAGGGGCCAAGAAGCTAAATAGTAGAACTCTGCAGTGGAAAGGAGGTTTACGAAATGGGAATGCGGGCACGGGATGCAAGGCGTCGGAGGTCAACGGGAACGTAAGACACACCCAAAGCCTCAATTGGGTACCAGCGATTTGATCTACCAAGATCCTGGCAGCATCTTCCCTGAAGTGATCTTTCAGCCCTGGATTTCCCCGCAACCGACGGGTCCGATTTCTTTTGCTGACCATATGTGCCTGGAACGTTTTTCAATAAACGGAAGAAGAAAAGAGTATTCTGCGCAATCGTTTCCCCTGTATCTGATAAAAAGTGACTCAACAGAGGCTAAATATGGATAATCGAGCAATGCGAATCTTGAAGAAGAAAATAATTGATAAAGGACGGGCGGTGCGTCCAATTGACATGTGCGTTGACAAGACGAGGAGATACTTCGACAAGGCGGGTGGTCTGATCAAGCATTAGTCGGCCCCGCGCCGCCCTCTTCATCGAATGAGAATAGTATCCAGACGCCGATACTTGAGTGCCAAGTTGCCAAGTTGCCAAGATGGCATGTGCCAACTCGAAGCATGGTCAGAGACCAGGTTTGTGGAAATGAGGACTGGCCAGTTGACGGAAAGTCAACACGCGTGAAAATGGTAGTTGAAAATGCGCCTGAACAGTCGAGAAAAGAGGGGGGCGGCCTTTGGTCGTCTTGCACACGCAAAAATGAAGGTCCCCAGTCACGACTTGCCATGAACTGTCATATCATTGTCGAATGTGCCCCAGCCGGCATCTGACTTCATAGACTTCCATTGGAGGAAATTTCGAGAAATTTGAGTGCCTTACCACGGAGAGTTCAACTTTTGGTGACATCGATTGATGTAGGGACGGATTTCAGGGAGGTGGGCAGTCTAGCACTTGAATGATACTCACGTGTTCCGATGTCCGGTCTGGAGACGTTTCGGAGGTTTCGGACATTTGTTGTATGCACAGCATCGCTCTTCTTCACATCTCAACTTCAATAACACCGGTCCCTATTAGCAATATCCTAACAAAGTCTGTTGACTTTATTCGTGCTGCTCTAACCGAAGTCCCGCACCAAAACACGCGAGTTTATACCAAAAACCCTTAAAACTAATAATTAATATCTTAACTCACAACGCCTTTATTAATAAGCGGTTTTTTAATATTAAATAAAATTCAACTTAAGATTATAAAATCAATTTTTTTCAAGATAAAATTGAAAGTCTTATTAATTAAAAACTGCTTTAAAAATAAAGATATTATTTTCTTGATTTTTTATATTTTCTTTCTTAAATTATTTAAGTAAATATTAATAGAAGTTTAAATTTTAATCTATTTTATAAAATATATATATATAAGTTATCTTAAAGCTTAAAATCTAATATTATATATAATTTATATAAATAGAAATTTATATTTTATTAAAACTCTTATTTTAATTAAATTAAATATTAGTATTATAAGTTTAAACTTGAAAAAAATTAGTCTTTTATATTTAATAAATATAATATATATAATAAAAAGGCTTGAAATATTTTTTATTATTTTTAAAATAATTTTATTTTAAATTTTATAAGAAAAAATATATAATATATATAGGGTTATATATAACTAAAAAAATATATAATAAATCTCGAATATTACAGGTATTAATTAGCGAGATTAATAGCCCTTTATTATTATAACTAACTACTATTTATATTATAAGTATTAGGTTTATAAATTACTAATTATATATATATTATTAGAGTTTTCTATTTAAAGAAAGCTTTCTTGAATCTTATAAAAGAAATAGAAATTAGTTTTATATTAAATTTAATACTATAATTTTATAACTTACTAATTTATTCTATTATCTTATTACTTATTAATAAATATCTTATAAGCTAATTTCTCTATTTTTAAAAGAGATAATTTAATAAATAATTATATTTCGAAATCTATAAAATATAAAACCTTTTACTAAAGCTATTTCTATAAAGGAAGTCGACTAAATTAATCCTAATATAGGTAATAATAAAGGTTCGTTTAATACTTTTAATAGGGCCCTTTAGGAGCCTTTAAGAACTAGTAATAATAACGAAAATAATTCTGGTAATAATTAAAATACCGAGATTAATTATTGCATAGCAATTATGTGCTAGTAGTCACGTGCAGGCTCACGTGACCATACTCACTGTATTTAAGCTTTGGCCACCCGTGCCACACCTCTTTTCTTTGAAATCTATCTATATATTATTATTATAATATAATAATATTGTTTTATTATAATATTAATACCCAAGTTATTATTATTTAAACTATAAAATAGGGCTTATATACTAAAATTAAAGTATTTTAGTAAAAGTAAAAATTAGTAAATATAATTAATTAATATATTTTATAATTAGAATAATATAAGAATACGTTTTAGAATATCTTATAATTTATTATATTTTATAAAAACTTTATTTATAAATTTATTTTATTTTCTTTAATAATTTCTATTAAAGAATTTCCTGAAATAGAATTAGAACTTATTTCCTTTTCTAATATAATAAATCTTGAGAATAATTTTAATACTATTTATTAGAAGCTATTATATAATATTCTGAAAATATATTTAAACTAAAAAAAGCTTTTTAAAATTCGAATACCTGATTTATATTATAGAAAGTTTCTTAAAAAATAGAAAATATTTGTATTTTTCTAAAAAGTAATCTTTAGAATCTAATTTTAAACTTATAATAGATATTCTTCTAAAATTAATTCTATTATAAGTATTTTTTAGAAATAAATCTTATAATATTTAGAAAACTATAATAAAATAAAGCCTATTATTATATAAGATTTATTAAAAGTAATTTAAAGCCTATTTAGCTAATATATTCTAAATACTTTAAATTTATTAATAAAATATTTTTAAGGAACTTTGAAGTCTTTATTAGAAAAATAATAAAATAATTACTAAATTATATATTCGAATAATTATTTTCGAAATTAACTAGAACTTTTGCCCTAAAAGAAGTTAGATTAGAATTCTTAATATTATTCTATTTAATTATAAGACTTATTAAATATTTATTTTCTATTTTTTTAGAAATTAAAATAATATCTATTCTTAAATAGCTTAAAAAAGCTTAGAAAATAGAATATATTACTTATTTTAAATTAAGGAAAGTAAAAATAGAAAAATCTAATAAAAATAATTCTATTTTTAAAAACTTTAACTTAGTAAATTCTAATTTATAAAGCTATTAAAAAAGGTAAAATAAGTTCCGAAAATTATATAAGAAATTCTCAAATAGTATTTTAGTTTCTTTTAGACTTTACTAGAATACTAGTTCTATTTTAAATATAGTTTATTAGACTTATAATTAGAAAAAACACTTTTTAGGAAATATAAAGTATTTTAAATATAATAAATAGACTTAATAGAACTCTAATAAGGCTAAAATTATAAAAGAGTTAAGGGATTTATAAAATAGGTTTATATTATTATAAAAAAGTACTTTAAAAAAACCCCTTTTTAAAAAAATTTAAAAAAAGACTAAATTTTAAATATTAATAATTTTAGCTATAATAAAAAGAGTATATTATTTTATATAACTATTTAAATAAGATTAATATAACTAGAAATAGATATTTTAGAAATATATAATAAATTTAGTAATATTAAATTAGATTATAATTTCCTTAATAATAATTAGATTTAAAGCCGGAACTTTATTATTTTAATTAAATATAATTAAGAATTTATAATCTTTTATAAAAACAGATTTAAAATCTATTAAGCCTATAATCTTAAAATATTTATTATAGATAATTATAATAAATTTTTTTTTTTTAAGTTCTAGTTTTATAAAAATAAGAATATTAGCTTTTATAACCTTGTTTTTAATATATAATTTTATAAAATAACTCTTATATAATATATAAACTATATTAAAAAATAATAAATATATATATTTATATAGTCTAATAATATTAAGATTCTAATATTAAAAGAATTTAATAAAAAGCTTAATTTATATATTAAACTAATATTTCAAGTTTTATTTTTAACTAAAAATAAATATAATTATCTTAAATAATAGGTTCTATATATATATAATAGTTATTAGATCTTTATTTTATTATATAATTCTAGTAATATTAAATAAAAGATTTTAATATAATAAATTAATATTTTCTAAAAAGAAGCCTTAAAAATATTTATATATTTCTAGAATAATAAATATAAAAATTTCTTAAAGGATTTTAATTCTAATAAAGCTTCGAAATTTCCTAATTTTAATAGTATTAAATACTCTATTAATATAAATAGTATAGTTTTATATAGATCTTTATATAATTTATTAAAAACCTAACTAGAAGTATTATATTTATATTTATAAAATATATTTTATAAATATTAAATAAAATCTAATAAAAGCCTTATAGAAATACTTATTTCTTTTATTTCTAAAAAAAATAGAAAGCTATATTTTTATATTAATTTTTATAAACTTAATTAAATTATAATTAAAAATTAGTATTTGTTTTCTTTTATTAATAAAACTCTTAATTAGCTTTAAAAAGCTAAAATCTTTATAAAAATTAAATTTTAAAAATATATATTATTAAATAAGAATTTATAAAAAATATAAGTAAAAAATAACTTTTAAAACCTATTATAGCTATTTTAAATATCTTATAATATCTTTTAGTCTAGCTAATATACTAGTTATATTTTAAATATATATTAATATTATATTTATAAAGTTCCTAAATTATTTTATAATTATTTATTTAAATAATATTCTTATTTATTCCCGAAATAAAAATAAAAATAACCTGTTTTATAAACTTAATAAATGCGAGTTTAATATTAAGGAAATCGAATTCTTAGATTTTTTTATTAAAATAGAAAATATTCGAATAAATCCTAAATAGGTTTATAATATTATTAAATAGCTAGAATTAGAATTATTTTATAATATTTAAGTATTTCTTGGATTTATTAATTTCTATTATAGAATTATTTATTATTATTTATAAATAATTATAAGCTAAATAAATCTTTTAAAAGAATAGAAAAGAGCTAAAAATCCGATTTCTTTATATAAATAAATAAAATAGCTAGAAGCTTTAAGGTTTTAAAAAAAGCTTTTATTATAATATTTATTCTAGTTTATTTTAATCTTTTTAAAAAGGTTTATATTAAAACTATTAGTATAGCTATAGTTATTAATAGTTATATAATATAGTTATATAATATAGAAATAACTAGAAGTAATAGAATATAAATAATAGGTAATAATTATATAATCTCGTATTATATAAATAACTTAACTAGTAGCTAGTCTTTATTAGGCTTAG